TGGGTGAAGGGCGTGAGTGTTCTTTTTTTAGTTTTTGGCTCGGACAGATCGTTCAATTTTGTTTTTTTCGGTATCTTCTTTGATTTTAATTTTGAATGGGTTATATTAATTTAATCTAAACTATTTATAGTTTTCGTGTCATTTATTTGCAACTCATTTTATAATCTAGTTTAGACCAAACTATTCTTGTTAATAAGTCTCTTAATTATATATAAATATAATTAGTTTAATAGTATTTTAATGAACATGAATAAATCTGTATCTATAATAATAAAATAAATTGTAATTTGGGTACCAATTTAAAAAATTAACGAACCAAATTAACTTGTGTCAGTGGCATATAACGGCTATAATATTACGTTGGCCTGTTGGAAACGGGTAGCCATTTTTCAGCTTAATTTTTTGAAATATTTACCTTTGACTGACTTTTTCTAGTATAATTAATCAATACATATAAATAAAATTGAAGTATCTGTCTGTGACATCGAAATAACTGTATTTTATTGAGCTGAGGGGGTTATTCGAATGCCATTAAGATATGAATTATCATTTTTAAAAATCTCTGCCTGTCCGTCTGGCCTAATCTTCGCAATGGCTGAATCGACGGATGGAACTTGACGAACAGATAGAGGACAATACTAGAAGTGATCTAGACTTTATTTTCTACCGACTTCAAACAGGAGGAGGTACTCAATTCAACTGTTTTTTTTTTTATGTGCGTTACCTCATAACTTTTTTCTAGGAGAACCGATTTCGATTATTCTTTTTTATTTGAAAGCTGGTGCTTCTCTTGTGGTCCTTTATAAATTGAATTAAGGTCTGACTAGAGGTTTTTGAGTTATTCTTAATAATTTATATTGAAGTCGCTTGTATAACATTTTTAATTTTAAATTATGTCCAAAAAAACTTGGGATATTTATTTTGAGAAATTGAAAAATTGGTTAAGACAAATCCTGTTTACATTTAGAGAAAAACGTAAAAGTAATATTTTCATATCTCAAGATCGAAGAACGGAGGGTAGTATGACGAGAAGAGAATCTATCAACCCTTCTTTGGTACGAGTAGTTTGGAGGGGGTGGACAACATCCCTCCTACATTTTTAACTAAACTATATTCTCTATAATATATAGCTCTCAGAAGTGTTAATGTTTACAAAGTTTAAGACAAATAGAATAGAAGGTAATAAACAAGACAAGTGACAGGAAAGGGCCGTCTGGCTACTGATATATTGTTATAATTGACATTTTAAATCTATTAATTAATATGTGAAGAGAAAACTGCACCCCTTTTTAAGCATATTGCACGCATGGAGTGTGCGAGATTTGTCATTGTACAGTTCAGTGCAGAAATCTAAAACTTATATGATATAATGTGTTAAAAAAATTAATCATAATTTAAAATTTAAAATTTTGTACAACCGACTTCAATATAAATTATTAAGAATAACTCGAAAATTATTGGTCAGTCCTTGATCAAATTTATGTGGGACCACATGAAAAGCACCAGCTTTCAAAGCTTTAAAAAAAGAATCGTCGAAATCGGTTCAACCAGAAAAAAGTTATGAGGTAACAGACATAAAAAAAGGAAAAAAAACATTCAGTCGAATTGAGTACCGTCTCCTTTTTGAAGTCGATAGAGAATAAAATAAAACATACATTGTTTACGTACTGCCAATGTCTCGGAGTAAGTACAAGCATAATATGTATGTTATAATTAAAAATTAAAAATTTTGTACGGCCGACTTCAATATAAGTTATTAAGAATAACTCAAAAACTACTGGTCTAACCTTAATCAAATTCATATGGGACCACACGAGAAGTACCAGCTTTCAAATAAAAAAGAATCATCGAAATCGGTTCACCCAGTAAAAAGTTATGAGGTAACTAATACATTAAAAAAACACAAAGTATACAACACAATGTATAGATTTTCGCCAAAGGATATGAAAGTATTGCCAACGTATAATTATTAATTACCGACAGGTTGACTAAATAAACTGTGAATTTGGTGTAATGTTTTTGAAAAACACATTTCATATTTTGTATATTATTAGACATGTGTTTTATATATTAATGTGCAGTTAAAAGTGAAATACAGGTCACTTAATATACAAACCTAAAAATTAAACGAATTGAGTCTAATTTCTACCACTAACATAATATATTAATAGACAAAGACAAGTTGTAAATTATATTGTAACTCTAATAGTCTTTGAGAAGATATTGTTTTTGAAATCTGGTATAGATTCTAACGTTCCTAAACGTTCTTATAAACGTCGTAGTGACGCATTACATAGTTTTTTTTTTTTTTTTTTTTGTAGGAGAGGGGGCAAACGAGCATGCGGCTCACCTGATGGTAAGTGACTACCGCCGCCCATGAACAACCGCAACACCAGGGGAATTGCAGATGCGTTGCCGACCTTTTAAAAAGGAGTAGGCTCTTTTTTTGAAGGTCCCTAAGTCGTATCGGTCCGGAAAAATCCCTGGTGGTAAACTATTCCACAAGGAAGTTGTGCGAGGAAGAAAACATCTTCTAAATCGCACAGTGGTGGACCGCCAATCATCCAGATGGTGTGGATGGTATCGGGAGTTCTGCCGCGATGTGCGTTCGTGAAATTTGGCGGCTGGGATTAATCCGAACAATTCCTCAGAGCACTCCCCATGGTAGATGCGAAAGAAAATGCAAAGAGATGCAACATCTCTTCGCAGTGCCAATGAATCGAGCCGATCGGAAAGGGCTCGGTCGTCGACGATTCGAGCCGCTCTGCGCTGGATGCGGTCAAGTGGAAGGAGCTGGCACTGGGGAGCCCCTGCCCAGAGATGGGAACAGTATTCCATGTGAGGCCGAACCTGCGCCTTGTAAAGTTGCAGGCGGTGTGCCGGCATGAAATACTGTCCCGCTCTGCTGAGCACGCCAAGCTTTTTAGAGGCCAATTTGGCCTTCTCTTCCAAGTGACCACGAAACTGTACGTCACTCGATATGTCGACTCCGAGGATACCGATACTGGCTGAGGCAAGAAGGGGAGTGCCTTGAAACTGAGGAGATACGACAAAGGGGTTCTTTTTAGCGGTAAACGCGCAAACTTGTGTCTTCTGAGGATTAAACTGGACTAGATTTAGTCGCCCCCAATCCGAGACTTTGTCCAGCAAAGACTCAGATTAGTACAGTAGTCTAATGGTTAAGGGTGTGGCCGCGAACTCTAAGGTCGTGGCTATGAATCCGCCTCCATTTTCGTATCCACAATTCAATCAGGTAATGTTCACAGCAACCGACTCTCATTTCAATCCCAATTGAAAACAGGTCAGTTGTTTTTAAGTAAAAACATAAAATATTTTTAATTTTCCTGTGATGTTGTCAATCAAAATTGTTATTTCTAAACTAAATCTTAAATATTAGATATTTAATGTATATGTATAAATTTAATTGAACGAACGATTAAGCTTGATATAGTCGATTTTGAACTCAATTTGCACTAAAGCTAAGGTTCGATTTACATTGCAACAAAATGACGACAAATTACCGATCGCCTAACACCGACCATACTTAAATTGCATGTCCCAAACGAATCAAAAGCCAAAAAAACTTAAAGAAAACATCAATGCATAAAACATGAAAAGATAACTTTAAAAAAACATGCTGCAAATTTTGCTAAAATTTACGACGGCGGTCATTTGCAAAGTTCGAAAATACAAAATGGTCTCCATAAAGTTTTGAAGAAACAACTGTGACGTGCCGGAGTAATTAAAAACTGGCCTACATCAACAGTTACAAGTTATAAAACGCACACACACAACTAAATCTATATTTATACATTTACCCATACATACACAGAGGCCGAGGGCGTAACAACTAAAAAAAAAATCAACTAATCTTACATTATAACTAAAATAATATATAAAAGTTATTCAATACATTGTTATATTATTACAGGAAGGGTAACTTCACCAAACAAATACCGTTAACTTTAATAAAAAAGCCAACGGTTTTTGAGTAATTGTGCACAGATAATAAAATTGTTTTTGTCTATGGTCAATATGCTTCATAACAGCGGTTTTGATAATTCAAGATGTTAAATTTGGAATATTTTTATTTGTGCAGGTAGGCATGTAGTTTTAGGGGTTGCTTAATGCCTGATTCCAATACTCAACGTTTCGTTTCGAAACGATCCGTTTCATTTTAAAGTATCCGTTCATTTTTCCACAATAGAACGAGACTTAAGTTAATTTTCTTACATACTAAAACCAGGCATTAGTGATACAGGGGAGGGAAAAATTGAAACTTATATATAAGAACATAACATTAAACCTAGCAGTTTTTGAAGCATACATATATAGATTATGATTATTTCACACATACGCAAACACAGAAAACATTCGCATGCGATTATGAACCATAAGTGGGCGACTTTAAAGTTCATAATTCTCGACCTTACTAGTTTAAAAGCTGGTTAGCGAATGATATGTGATTTAATGGCTTATATTTAAGATCTACATATAATTAATGGTGTAGATTTTGAAGCGTGTATACCTAAGTGGACAGTTCGTAGGAATGCGACTCTTAAAACCAAGACAAGACAGTTCAAACTAGCACAACTACTCAAAAACCGTCAGAATATCACACACTAAAGCGAAGGAATATAAGACATTCGTAATGTTTTGGCAACCTCAACTCAGCGTCCCGGCACTTTCACACTACAACTGGCCTTATCGCTCACTACACAACGGTTAAAATCCTTTGAACAGACTTGGTCTTATCTTCAAACGATATAAGCGAAGTCGATACGCCACGGAGGACCAACTTACAATTCAATTAATTTCAAACACTAAAATCACCTGTAATGGACCAATCAATACAATATTTATAACGCCAATTATCTAAAACATTCATAGAACATAATATGAGACCAAAAGTCCAAGTGTTTTGTCCAGCGGCCCGCGTGAGTCGTGGCATTTCGACCTCAATCTCCGAGGAAACAAAGGCGAGAATCGTTCGCGCTGAGTCACTCGGAGTTATTGAAGTACTCTGATGCGTTCCCTCGGCATATCGGACACGTTCTGTTAGACTGTAAGAAAGAAGAGAAAATAATTCTTATTAACCCAATAATTAATATTATAACGATATACCGCTATTAGCGGGTTTTCGCTACAGGTACTGTGCATGTTGACGGTAATCGTTCGATGAGCCGTCATTTGTAATCCCATTCTTTCACACACGGACTAGACACGCGCGTGTTTTCAAAATTTTTATAAATATTTGATAAACTAGCCGTAATAGTAGTTTTACTAAAATAGAGCAATCTGGTTGTGTATAACAACAACAGAGATTTTAATTCTATTAATTTTCCATTATTCTTGGTGCTAATGTGTACTTTGGTGCATTCATAATAAGCGCGCAGACATTAGATATTACAAAAAGTGTCTTATAATTAGTCTCAGGTTTAAAGAAGAATCAGATTCACGTAAGAAGTCCCACGGAGACATGCTACCTAAAGTTTAAAGCTTTAAAGTATGACATTTTACTACTTATTTAGTAGTTAGTAGTAGGCAGGCCTGTCTCACTCCGCGCTTTAGGCATGAAAATATAACTACGCTGCGAGGCCGCATGTGCAGCTGATCCCGTGAGGTTGTCAAGCGCGCGCTTGAGCTGACGCGCACCCTACGTTCACAATAAAGTATTTTTCTCTAATAAGTATTTAGGCACATTTGGTATTTATTTTTAAGTTTTTATTCAAGTATGGCTCACAAAAAGCCAAAAGGTACTGCATAGCATACAGGTGCTTAAATTACAATAGGAATGTTGACTTTTCATTCTTTACTGTTCCTAAGGATACTGAAAGGTAAAATATTATTATTTATAGGTAGATCTAGATAATTAGGTACCTAGTAACTGACGCCATAGTTACAGATTTATTATTTGATCAGCGACCCAACCACAGCTTCACAGTTTTCGATTTTTTCGCGTATAATGCCAATGACCATAAAATTTTGTTCAGTGTAAGTAGACCTCCCAGTACTAGTGACTAGGTACTGGGAGGTCTACTTACTACTGATGCACGATCATCATTGACGGCTCCGTGGCGCAGTGGCTTAGCAATAAGTTGCAGCACCAAGGGCCGCGGGTTCAAATCCCGCACGGAACAAGTATTACCACAATATACAACAGTAGTTTTGGAGTTATCCTTAATAATGCGTATTAATATTGACGTCGGTTGCACAAAATTTTTAATTTGAAATTTTTACTTGTCTCTCTTCCTTTCTTTTTAAAAAACGTTACCTTCACACTAGAGTTTACTCCTGAATCGCGGGGGTAGTTTACATACATAGATTTCACAAGGACAAACATCCAGACCCAGAACAATTATTTGTAGGCCATACAAATACTAGTTCCTAGCGGGATTCGCACCCGCGGCCCTTAGCGCTGCAACTGATTGCTAAGCCACTGCGCCACGCAGCCGTCACTCGTCTGTTTCACGTTGTTTTGCTATTTACAAACATGCGACACGCGACGGCATTATTAATGAAAGAGTGGCAATGAGAAGTACTGCTATTTTAATCTTTCTTTTAACGACCAAGTGTTAAATAAATAACCAGTATATGCCCTTCTCTCTTTTTTAAAAAAGTTACCTCCACATTAGGGTTTTCTCCTGTATCATGGGGGCAATTTACATACATAAATTTCACAAGGACAAACATCTAGACCCGGAACAATTATTTGTAGCCCATACAAATACTTGTTCCGTGCGGAATATGAACCCGCGACCATCAGCACTGCATCTCATTTCTAAGCCACTGCGCCACGGAGCCATCAGATTGATACATTATTACTTTGAATCGAAACTGCGAGAGAATACCGGTTTATTGCCGGTATTTTTGGAAACTTCTAGATCCCAAAACCCGGTGCCTTCTCTCCCTTCCACTCACCCGCAGCCACTTGTCGACGCACTTGGCGTGGAACTCGTGTGCGCACGGCAGCACGCGGAGCGTCTGCCGCGCCTCGAACTCGCACATGCACACCACGCACGAAGTTTGCTCGCCTACGGACAAACACACACACAATTAAATAATACTATTTATACGTAATTTATAGCGTTTATGTCGGGAAGTAAAAAGAAATATTTAATTTCCGACGAGTTATCTTAGTCTTGTAGAAATGTGCTTGGGTTTAGTTTTAATTTTATTAATTACAGGACCCCAAGCAAGTGTCAGTACCCAGCCTCCCTTTCAATTAATTTTGGGATGGATTATTTAATTTCAATAGTCTCACGATAATTCTTGGTAAGAATCGGTGTTCTTTTGCGAGAATTTGTAGTCTATCAAATCTGACGTGATGACGGGGGCCAAAAATCATACACACAAGATGCAATGCAATCCAGTACTTATGTTATGGACCAAGTGATTACTGCGCATTACACATAAAGTCTAGACAGTTTAAAAATGCCTTATTTTAGTAGGCAATATAATAAAAACAATTGAAAAAATTAAACCGACCGGGCTTTATGAATAAACTAGCTGTGCCCCGCGGTTTCACCCGCGTATATCACGTGTCTGAGCTGCGCGAAATGACATGAACACCTAGTTCAAGCATTTTAGATAGCAATGTATGGAAAAATTGGTAAAAATAATAGAGTACTTTTATCTATCGGCATATGTACGTTAATAGAGCGAAGTTAAATTTTATTCACTCTCCCTTCCCTTCTCAGGTAATCGTCACGGCCTCCCTCCCTCTCATTATTTATCAAGAATCATTTCGTGCCTACACAATTTTCATGTATCGTGTACTGTTTTCTTTAAATAATGTGTGAACGATTGAATAAATACACATTTATTCATTCGTTCACATATCACACAATTGAAGTTGAAGAAAGGTCACAAGGTCAAGACGTTTATTTTTTCAGTTATTCGTTTTCAGATGATACAGGTGAAGGTCAATGTGAATCAAGATCACAAGGTCAAGACGTCCATTTTTTTTATTCATTTGTTCGTTTACACATGATGCAGGTGAAGGCGAGTGTGAAGCAAAGTGACAACTGACCGTGTCTGGTCTGGTCGCTGTACTTGTAGGTGGGCAGCTGGTCGATCTCGTGGCGCGCGAGCCCCCTGGGCTTGGCCTCGCCAAGGCGCTCGGCGAGCGACAGCAGCGCCTCGTAGTTCTCCGGCTCGGGCTCCGCAGAGTCGCGCCCCTCGCGCCCTTCGCGACCCTCACGCGCCTCCCCGTACGGCGACAGCGGGAACATCGCCAGCAGGTTCAGGAACACCTGGGGAGGTCGCGCATGAAAAGGTGAACATAAACATTTTTTATTAATTATATTACAACCGATTGTTTATTTCTAATCACAATGGCTCAAAAAGCAGCAGGCAGAGACAAACAAGAGAGTTATAAGTGCGAGGGCAGGTCAAAAAGTTTGCGGAATAGAGGTGTTTGAGAGGGGGAGGGGGATGTTAAACTGTCACTACTTGGTGACTCGGTACAACTACATATATCAAGTTTCAGCCAAATCGGATCATTAAGTTTTGAGATATCACGGTATAAAGAAGTCAATCAAAAAGTGAACACTAACTATGAAGAAAATTGAGTTTCGTGTATTATCTTCCTCAGTTAGCAACGAAAAATGTCACATATTATTATGGAAGAGATGTCATAAGTTTACGAATAGTTTTTGTCAATCAAGGCAGAGACTCAATTGAAGACAATCAGCGCTCAGGCCAACTGATTAAGGCAACTTATTCAGACATTGTCGAAAAAAAATCTTGTGTTTAAAGATGCACGTTTGAAGAAAAAACAGATCGCAGAAATGACTGGAGACTAGTGAGCACAGAGACGAAATTATGAACCTTTGTGAATTGTGACTGGGGATGAAACTGGGTGGAAGCAGAAGTCCATGCAGTGGCATAAAATAGGTGCAGCACCTCCTAAGAAGTACACGGTGTCACAATCAGCTGGAAAGATTATGGTTTCAGTTTTTTGGGATTCAGACGGGATCTTATTGATCGTTTATAAAGATAAAGGTGACAATATGACGAGACAGTATTACGCTACGCGACTAGAAAAACTAAAAGATGAGATAAAGAAAAATTAGGGGAAAGTGGCCTCAAGGTGTGCTCCTTTTGCACGACAACGCACCTGTTCACAAGAGCCATGTTGTGATGACTTACACAAGTACGACTTTGCAACTTTAAACTGCCCTCCGTATAGTCCAGATATGACCCCTTCGCATTATAATTGTTCCCAAATATGAAAAAAGAGATTTACAGATGACGAAGAAGTAAGTCGTCAATTTCTATCTATTTTGAGGGCCCCGTCTAAACATATTTTTTTAACATTATTGGAACGAAGTAAGTTATTTGAACAGTCTGAGAAGTGTATTAAGGGTTAATGAAGAATATATCGAAAAGGAAAAATAATGTCATGTTTAATTCCACCTCCTTCGCCTTTCATTCTCCGAACTTTTTGACCTAAATGTGTTTTTTGTACATAAATGTGTGTGGATGTGTGCGTGCGCATGCGTGGACATGCTCACGCGTGTTTGTATACTTTTTGTCTGTCTGTCAGACCTAATCTTCGAGATGGCTGAACCGATTGTGATTATAAATAATATATTGTTAACATATTGTTTTCATGAAATCAATAAAAAACCGGCCAAGTGCGAGTCGGACTCGCACGCCGAGGGTTCCGAACAAATCCGTAGGTATATAAGTTTAAAATTATTAAAAATATTTTTACTATATGATGTAACTAAAAATTTATGCTTTTCGCAATTTTTCCGTTACGTTGCTTCGTACCAAATTTTAAGATTCTGAGTTCACGGGAAGTACCCTGTAGGTTTTGATTCCCTTGCGAATGTCGAAAATTTGCGGCATAAACGGCTGTATCTTTTGATTGCGTTAGCTTAGAAGTTTGATTTTTTCACAGCTCCAAGGTACAGTAGACTTGAGTATTTAATATGAATTTCAGCTTGATACCTCCACGCGTTCCTGAGTAAAAGGGTCTTGACAGACAGACAGACGGATAACAAACTGATCCTATAAGGTATCCGTTTTTTCCTTTTGAGGTAAGGAACCCTAAAAATAGACAAAATAATTGTTGATTAAATCATTTTGAGAACAAAATTATGACTGTGAAAGGATACGGTATGAAGGTATTTTTACGAGAAATTTTATTTTATTTTTTCTATATAGAGTGTAAAGTCGCTTTCGAATACTTGAACTGCTTGTCCAAAGACCACTATTATAAATCAGCAAGTTATTTCGTTTAACTTCTACGCTAACGAAGTTACGGTACGGCTGGTTCGTCATCAATCCGTTATCAAATACTAGCATAATCCTAACATTACAATAATTTAAAATTAAAAATTTTGTACAGCCCACTTCAATATAAATTATTAAGTACAACTCAAAAACTATTGGTCTGACCTTGATAAAATTCATAATATGGGACCACATGTGAAGTATCAGCTTTCAAATAAAAAAGAATCATTGAAATCGGTGCGCCCAGTAAAAAGTTATGAGGTTACACACATAAAAAAAGCAAACAGTTGAATTGAGTACCGGCTCCTTTTTGAAGTCGGCATAAAAAACAAATGATACCTGATAAGTTGGCGGTGGAGGGGGCAGGGGTAAGGGCGGCGCCACGTGCAGCTGCGCTTGTACGTGCGGCAGAGCCCCCATTAGACTCCCGCCACCCTGGAAAATACATTTTTAATTGAATACAACTCGTTCGGAGAAGGACGCCCTCACAGAATACCATCGAGAAATAGCAGCTTAATGCTAATGTTGTGTTTTCGTATGAGACTGTAGAGAACTGAATTTACTGGAAACGAGGCATATCATTGCGCGGTTTTCCATTCATCGGCACGGCATATTTTTGTCTTAATTGTAAGAGATATAAGAAATAAATATTACGACTTGGTGAGACCATATTTACGTGTTGTAAAACTGAAGTCTGTGTTAATACTGCCCAAAAACTGATCGTAGATCGGCACTGGCACCGCCACCGGCGCAGTGAAAAAACGAAGTCCGGTGCCGTGCCGGTAAATGGAAAACCGCCCATTCTCATCTTAGTCCTTAGCGGTGCGTATAGGCTACAGCATTCGCCACATTATCATCAGGGGAACTGTTTGTTGTTTTTCTTAGTAACATTTTTTATAGAATAAGGGTCATACAGTTCACTTGATGGTAAGTGGACGCTGTGACTCATAAACATTTATATTAATCCTCAATAAGAATCAAAATGCATATGCGTTATCACCCCTGAGGACTAAGATAGAATGTAACCTTTCCAGTAAAAAGGGTCTCCGGTTCTCTACACTCACCATACGAATACGAAACAGCAGCATCATTAAGCTGCAATAGCACGCTGGTATTCTGGGAGAGCGTGGACCTTAGAGCCAGCCCATTCGTGCTCCAACCATGATATATTTGCAGCGTGGCTCTACCACGGACACGTATATAGAAGACACGGATAACATTATCAATAGTGACCTGTGCGTGTATGTGGTGCACGGGGTGCGGCGGCCAGCGCGCGGCGGCGCGCACGTATGACCGCGCGGCGCGCGAGCCGGCGGCCACGACGCCCACGCCCACGCCCACGCCTACGCCACCCACGCCCACGCCCACGCCTACGCCACCCACGGCGCCCACGGAGCCCACGGAGCCCACGGCGCTGCCGGGCCCGACACCCACGCCGCCGCCACTACGTCTCTATACGACACAAAAAACGGTCTCCTTTGTATCGCGACGCCTTGGCAAGTGCCGCATCTTGTCAAAGGCACCGCCGCGACTACAAAGATCGCCACATGCGGCGTACTCCCGCAGGAAAATTTTACATTTTGAAAAGAAGCACCGCAGTGAAAGGTCCTTTGCTACCTAACTTGTGTTTATTATTTATATTCGCATTTTATTACAATAACCATAAGATTATTGTATATATTATTCTATTTGATTCTTAAAATAGAAAACAAGCATGATTCTTTTTATTACTAATACTTTTAACTCACTCTTACTTTTGCACTTGACAACACACCACCGTCGATAATAATTCGACGTTTTTCGCCTCTAAACGAGGTAACATCAGTAGAAATATACGGCAATGTTAATAAGCCATATGACTCGTTTAGAGTAAATCAACGAACAAAAGACAATGCCAGATCGTGCCCCACCACACAAAAAAAGATAAAGGTATCTAAAATAATCATATAAATATTGGACTTTTTGTAGTAAATCATTATTTTGTAAAACTTGCGGTAAAATATTATTTAAAAAAGGGAATTCAACGGTCAATATTTTACAATTTCCAGTTTTTACTAATAGCGGCTGTGTTTTTTTGTACGAATAAATTAATACGTACACTTAAAGTACCTATACAATACCCATTTAATTTATAATATATAAATCTTTGTCATATAAAATAATATTTACCTATTTTTATTACGATTTTATTATAAACCATTAATTATACGTAAAAAATAATCATGAATTATATCATTACATAGAACAGAAAGAAATAACAAACTAACTTCCCCGCTATAAAATCTATCAATTAATTTATCTCACTCTTAAGTGGCACCACCTAGGTGGCAGAAAAATTCGTGGATGAATGAGGGGTCATTATTAGAGCTCAACATTTAAACAAATCGAAACTTCTAGAGGCGTTAACTTATATTATATAATTTGTTGGAAATATTAATAAAATAGCAAAAAAAAATGTTTATAGTATAAGTGTGACAAACGAACACACAGTCCACCTGATGGTAAGTGGTTGCTGTGGCCCATAGACATCTACACCTATTTTCGATTACGAATGAAAATGCAGATGCGTTGTCACCCGTGAGGACTAAGATGGAATGCCTCGTTTCCAGTAAAGTGTCTCCGGTTCTCTACACTCACCATACGAAACACAGCAGCGTTAAGCTGCTATTTGACGCTGGTATTCTGTGAGAGCGTGGTCCTTCCCCGGTCAAGGCGACCCTTTCGTGCTACAACCATAATATAGCTGCAGCATAGCTCTACCACGTATAAAACAGCACAACATTTTTGGGTAGGGCAAAGTTCTATAGGGATTCTGGCATTGTCGCTTGTAGACTGTCTGTTTGTACATATAAATACTTACGTGATGGTGATGAGACAAAGCGTGTCTCGCGTGGTGCGGCGCCATCAACTCTAGTGGTGTTCCACGTGCCTAAACAAAACATGTGTGTAAATTAAACAACCTTTAGAAAATTGCAAGAAAAATTTATTTGTAATATCTTATATGTAATATTTGTGGTACGAAAAATAGATGCTAGTGATAGCCTATCCTAAGACTCATTTAATATAAATCGGTAAATTATGAAATGGTGGATTATTATGAGTGGATTAGATAATATGATAATTTTATTCAACACGGTTAATTTAATTTATAGTATAAATCTGTTAATTTTTTTCTGTTTATTTTAACAGTTAAAGTTATATGAACCATCTTTAAAGCACCGCATAAAGAGGTAACCGAGGTAACACTGACTGTGTAAGACTGTGTATTGTATTCTATCTCATTCCCTCGTAGGCCAAATCCTATAGATGTACATATGTTTGTCTCTCTTTGGTTTTATCGAGTTTCAAATCAAACGATTTCAAAGAAGTTTTCACTTTAATAAAAAAAATCAACCAAGGCTGACAACGCTGTTTATTTTGATATACTCTACCAGTAGTGGTGAAAAGAGATACGACTTTAATCTGTACCTCGGTGGCGAGTAAGAGCGGCGCATGATGAAGATCCGGAGCCGGCTGCAGAGGAGACAGTCCACCTTCTCCACCGCCCATGACATCCAACCGACCGCCCTCTGCCCGCTGTAAGCCAACAATCTCATTATCAACCTGTAAAAGTCTTTTGTATAAAACAGGAGTGACAAACGAATTTATAATCCACCTGATGGTATAGTCTGTTCGCTAAGATAGTGTAGGTACACCCGGAGGTGCAATTATTATTTTGCTTTTATTTTATTATCTTTCACTGTGTTTGAGAAACAAATGTATTTTTTCTATTCTAAGAATAAAATTGAATACGATTTTATTCTTATAGTTTTTGTAATGAGATATAAATATAAATAATAAACACAAGTTAGGTACCAAAAAGAATTTAAATGAAAAATATGAGTAGGTAGGTAAACATAAACAAAAGTAAAATAGACACTATTCTTCATCACTCGAAGTGTCGGAGTCATTGCCACCTGTATGGATAATAAGATAAGGCATTCAACGTCATCACGTTCTAAATCCATACTAAAATAGTATTTATGTTACTGATTCACTTAAAATTTCTTCTTGAAGCACTTCACTGTCCTTCCAAGGACGATACAACATTTTCTGTATACGTAACAGAGTCAACAAAAACAAAAGTTCATTACGGCGTTTCGTTTTAAAATGCCAAATTTTTCTGCGGGGAAACACCACCATTGTTACTACCAGGATGATGGTGGCGGTAGTAAGGGATGTGGTGATGATGCTGGTCATGGTGGTGGTGCCAGTGGTAGTCCACCGCCCATCACCACCACCAATGATACTACCAGCACCACCACAATCACTGTCACCATTACGAGCACGTACAGCACCACCGTCCACCATCACCATTACAAGCACTACTACCACTAACACTAACTGCACCACTGTCTGGCTATTGTATTATTTTCTCTCAAATTTTTCATACATACAGTACAACATAGGTATTTAGCTTATATGAACACTAATTATCTAATATAAATATATACTTATAAATCTACAATGTCTTATTTATAGTACACAATCACTTAACTTAACTCTAATTGTAAAAAAAAAATTAATAGATTTATTGATCTATAAAATCACGAAATATATTATTCGTCTATTTATTTCAATGCGCGTGACCAACAGCCCTTTCATTCACACTCTGACTGAGCCGGCGCAAACCGGTTTGTACCCCGACGGAGCGTCGGTGAAACTGTCGGTGAGAGCTCAAGCAAACATCGCTGCGCTATGTGTGGGTGTACCTACAGCGAGACGTTTGTATGTAGCTTCCCCTCTGGTCGGTTTCTTTAAGCTGGTTTTATCGTCACGCCGCTAGACGCGCCGCTGGGCAGCGTGCTGTTAACAGCGCGCGCTTGAACAGCGGTGCACTATAAAACGAGATTAGTACCACGCGTTCCGCTGCTGTGAGACAGTCGTGTACAAAATGAACGTTAATGCGGTTAGAGTACTGGCTATTTACATTTTATGGAAAAGAAGGCAACAGCGATTTAATAGAAGAATAGTTGATCCTTATAACGCTACAAGGTTACTGAGAGGCGAACACGTAACATCTTTCTCCGATTTACGAGAAAATAATTATAAATTTTATAAATATTTTCGCCTATCAACAAGCGGTTTCGACGAATTATTATTCTTGTATGAATCAACGGCCGGGTCCCATAAACATCTTCTAAATCGCACTTCGTCAATTACTCGTCCCGCATCGATGTAAACGGCGTCACACTAAAACGCATACTGAATATAGAAGCGCCCGAGCGGCGCGCATTTGGCAGCGCCGGCGATCAACGCGCGTATACCGAACGGCGCTGCTTAAGCGCGCGACTTTGAAACGTAACTACTACCCCAATACATATCCGAACGCGCACGCACCAACAGCGCAGCCGAAACGCATAACGATAAAACCAGCCTTACTCATGTGTCACGGCGTCGCCTTTGACAAGTGCGGCACGTGCCGAGGCGGCGAGAGACACGGCGCCCCGTATCTAAGCGTGTATTTGTATTTATGAGTGTGTGCCCTATAATTCCTGTAATCATGAATCAGTTATTGGATGGGATTAATGGAGACGGGAGTAGGGCGCGCAATTGATGGAGGGCTCGTCAAACTAAGTAAGACATAATTTTATTTCATTATGCGGATCTTAGTAAATTAATTAATTTAACATCTTGTATAATGAATTTCCGCAAAGTAACGCCTGATCCTATTAATTAGCATACATTTTATTTTCTGTGTCATATTGTGCCTACCTGCGAGCCAGCCAGGTAATGTGCGTGCGGTGGTGACGCGAAGGGCGCTCGTGGCAGCGGCGGAGGCGGCGGCGGCGGCGGCGGCGGCGGCGGCGGCGGTGGCGGTGGCGGTGGCGGCGGCGGCGGCGGCACGAACCCGCCGTGGTATGACAGCCCCGCGTACACGCTGCCCATCTGCGCCACGCACACTGTAGCCCTTCCGGCCGGGGGGGGGGGGGGGCGGAAACGACACTAACACTCCCTAACATCTGGCTCGAAGGACCAACTAAGACCCACTTGGGATCAGGCCCGAAGGACCAATTTCCTAGCTCAATTAATGATGTAAACAAATGTTTTAATAATCAAAATTTCATGACAAGCCAGATTTAAATATTTGATAGAATTATAATGTAAAAAAAATTATACCAAAACATAAGAAATTAAACTTCTAGTTAGCTAATGTCGCTTTCTTCGCCCCCCTCCAGTCAATAATTAGCGAAGATTGAATACAACATTTCAATATCGAGAAACTTAAAAAATTTAATTAACCGGGGATATAAAACGTATTGTATACAAGTGTCTACGCAAGTAGAGTTGTATTCGATCTTGAACAATAAAATATGATTTACAAACAAAAGAATACCGTGTACCAAAACACAAGATTAGCATCTATGGCGCCTTTATACAAAAAGTTATTTGAAGCGTTAAGATTTTTGTCTCGTTGTGGTAAAAAAATAAATTGCTTTAAAAAGAGAACTATTGCTTGCGTCGTGTTAAGTCAGCGAATGATAAAATAAAAACTATAAGTACCTAAAACAGTAACCTCTTTAATAAATATCATTAAGCATTAAAAATAAATATAGTTGCAACACGTATAGACATATATACGAGATATAGCTTAACCTACACAGAGAAATAAACATACATATCACAACATTCAAGACGAAAAGGGTGAAACTGTAAATATATGAAAGTTAATAAGGAATAAAATTGTTGTGGTATCTAGGACTTTACAGTAAGTTACTAAAACATAAACATATCTAGTCAGCTAATTTAAAAAAAAAAACGAGAAAAAATCCATTGCACGATTTACGATCATCAGCCCTTGTTAATAACCGCACCCAACAAAAGGAATGTAAATACAATAAAAAACAATACTGTTATTCATTTTTACATCAACAGAGCTTAAGGAAACAGCCAAGTCTAATGAAAGCGACCAGCCAAATATTTTCATCATAGAAATCTCTACAAAGTACCAAAAGCTTGAGTTTCTAGCGGCAAGCTAATATATTGTGCGGTAAACGGTCTGAAATACTTAACAGATGTGAGGGTAGTCACACACTTTCCTACCAATTGTAACGCATTGACTCGATCCCATTAGCTGAATCAGATGGACCAGCACATCTTTCAACATTTCACGACAGTTTATTTCCATACACGTAACACCTAGCACATTCACAAAATTTAAATATATAAGGTATTCGATGCATGCGGTATGAACACGTATAACAATATTAATAATGAAATTATGATATTATAAATGCTGTGTTATTAAAAAAAATATTTGGGAGGTCGCAATCGACCGGATCTAATAGAAACTTTGGCCGCGTTGAGGAGTTACTGAAATATTGCGGAAACTAGTCCCGAGAGCTACGTAGGCAGACGCTACATTGACACTACCGATGGCGCGATATATCATGCTTCGACATAGGCATGTGTCATCGTGAATGATTTGGTCTATTAACCCGGGTCGCTCAAAAATATTGTTGATTGTAATAACATTTTTTAAACAATCCGGAACAAATGATTGACAGGACGTTTATAAAAATAGATCGCGAACAGGCTTTTTTTATTAATATCTAAAGATCACAGAGTCCTGAAACCCAAAATGATCGATTTGAATGATCAACCCGGTCTGTATGGTAGGTCAATACTTAAACGATCGGGTCACTCACTAGAAATGAACAATGGACACATTTCTACTCGACAGCTATCAATGTACACGTTCGCCAGCGATACGGTCTCCGTTGCAAGAGCGTTACGCGCCGCTAAAAGTACCGCATGTTGTACAGTTATTGAATATGAACTCGTGTTGCATGCTGTACACACTCGACACCGACACCACAGTTCACGATGCTATGATGAAGGCGCGCAAATGCGATTCGTTAAACGTGTGTATAGTTTAAAAGATAAAAAAAGAGTCCGGCAGAAGTGTGAAATGAATAAAAAAACATCGACAACTGAATTGTTTAAGGTAGCCGGCTAGAATCGCAACACCTTATTTATTTAGGTTTTGGTTAAGAAATAGATGCGGGTAGTTGTGTATTTAAGGTTGTGCGAATCTAGCGACATTGTAAGTACCTAAAATGTCATCAAGCATTGTGCAGATTCAGTCTATGTATTACATATAATTAGATAATAAATGTATATGTAAGATTTTAATATGGTGCACACTTCTATGTTCAGCCTACCGCCACCTTACTATCACACTGCGTCTAGCAGCCGTTGTTAACACATCTCATCGCCTGGCTTTTACGCCTTCTTACAGAGCGCATTGCGAAATAAAATCCTTACGGTCTCAATTAAAATTAAAATAGTTTTATTAGTATCACAAATTCGCAGTGCGCTCGGGAAATTCGGGCCACAATCACATGAGCCAAGCCTTTATAAAATCACTAACATAACAGGTGCTTATAAAGTAGCGAAAGTGTTTCTGAGGTCACAATTATGCTAAGGAAAGTGTGGTATAAAATTTTACAAATTGTAAAATTTAATTCGGTTCGAGTAGGTGTACTGCATAACTGGGCTATTGCCAAAATAAATATTTGTTAAAAAAAAATTTGTTAATAAATCAATGTTTACATGATGACAAAGACAGTATTAATCACTAATTTGTTACTAAACAATCCCATATTAAATTTTTTTCTTTAAATCCAGAACGTTCATCAGAACGGCTCTCCATCTAGAGAGGGCGTTGGGCTAGTCTACTACTAGTCTCCGGAATAAAAAAAAGAAATTTAAGGAAATATTCCAATCAAAAAGTTTTACTCTGTGATAACATGTCAAGTTAGTTCCCATAAAAGCAGAAATATAATTTTTAGCATAGTTTTTGACAAGCCATCGTATTATCCCACAGTAAAATATTTATTTAACAATGCCAGATATGCAGTACTCAAGCAAACAGCCTTAGGATTACATAGTAAGTGATTTTAAAATATTTTAGTTTACCGCTCCCTCACACTATATATCATCTGTTTCGAACGCTGCTTGGAAAGTAATGACTTTTATAATTAGAAAAAACGAAAATACCTTTTATAGAAGGAACCTTATTATTTTTTGATCTGACATATCATAGAAAAGAGGGTGTATAAAATATCTATGTGTATGTTGAGGAAATGATAGGACTAACTAGTCCTATCATTATGGTTAAACTAAACCATCATGGTCACAAGTTCTTAAGTAAATATAAGATTTAAAAAGAAAGGTATAAAGGTGACACACAAATACACAGCTTCCTGATAAGTAGATGCTGTGTCCCATCAACACGTGACACACACGATAGATGTCAATCATCTCTTAAGAATCAAAATGCAAAGCATTGTCAACGCCCGAGGACTAAGATGGAATGCTTCCTTGTCACTGAAAATGTTATCCGGTCTCTACATTCACCATAAATAACAGAGTAGCATTCTGCTAAATCACGTTGTAGTCTGCGAGAGCCTATTCCTTACCTGGTCGAACCGACCTATTCGTACTTCCAAACATAATAAATCTGCAGAGTGGCTCTGTAAAGAAGCCATTGCACTAAGACCATTAGTTCCATTTACCATTTAGAGCTACATCAACACTTACAATCAATTGGGATTGTGGTAAAGCACTGGCTTACAACAAGTAAAATTATAAGTTGAGCCATGCTGCAGCTATATTAGTACTAGCACGAATGGATCGGCTCAACCGGGGTAGGACCACGCTCTCACAGAATACCAGCGTAATATACCAGCTTAAGGCATAGAAGAAACGGAGACTATTTTTACTTGAAACGATGCATTCCATCTTAGTCCTCAGTTTTTTACGTGATAGCAGCCTAACGTTATTGTGTTTCGTATGGTGAGTGTAGAGAACCGGAGACGCTTTTTACTGAAAACGAGGCAATCCATCTTAGTCCTCACAGGTGACAATGTATATGCATTTTGATACGTAATCGAGGATAGATGGATGATCTATGAGCCACAGCAACCACTTACCATCTGGTGGACTGTGTGCTCGTCCTGCTCCTTTGTCGCGCCTCTTATTCTATAAAAAAAAATTGGCCTGTGACCTACATGATTTTACAGGGATATTTATCAGAATCTCATTTTACACCTTTAATACTAGTTTCTAAAACACAAATGCGATAAAATTAAAAAAAAGTCTTGAGCAAATTCGAGCAGCGTTCGGTACATAGTAAAACAGTCCTTAAGTGAACGAGCCAAGGATGCTATTCGTATAACGCGTGCCATTATAGAATAAATCACAATCAATGACGGAAAGTACTTAATAAGTATGGACAGCATAAAAATCATTTTATTTTCTGATCATAATCACTAATAAAGTTATTTTGAACTCACAAGTCCACTGCTGTGCAGAGCTTCCACTCCTCCAAGGAAAGCCACAAAGCACTTTTATTAAATATATAATAATTAAATAATTAATTAATTTGTACATGTTTCGTTGTTGTTAAATTAGGTTAATAAAGAGTGTTTTTCTCACCGTACAACTTGTGAGCACACACTGATGAGCACTTGATCGCTTTGTGATTTTATTCGTTTATGGCACGCATCATACAACTACTGCGGCACCCCGCCGCAAGCTTACATTATACAAGCGACATACAGATTCATTAAGGATTAAGTCTAAAGAAAAATCTTCCTCACCGACTTATAATACATCACAAGGTAATAAAATCTGGGCATGCATATCATGTACTCGTGTCCACTGTGCAGTACGAGCTAGGTCGAGGCATCGAGTTGGTATCACCAAAAGTGACCATCACCGCAGACCGCCGGTGATTCGAGAGGCACTCAAACAAATTAACACTGATTTTTATTTCACCTTTAGAAATCAGTTATGTCGGGAAGACTGCGTTTAATTCTAAAATGTTTTTAATTCTCAACGTTTCGAGTGTATTAAGTCTTAGTAAATTAGTAAAACTATGTTAAAGGTAGTTTTAAATAAGTTATTAAGAAAAATGACTTTAAGAGGTTCTTGACGTTTCTTCTCTAAGGTCTTACTTTAAAAATGATTACACGTCGTCGTACAACGTCTTTAAAAACACTTAAAAAACTTTAAACAAGATGACTTACGTGATTTCTACCTTTGACTTGAACTTCTATCCTTGGCAAGCACTGACCTTGACAATTATTTTAACAGTAAGCTTTACATAAAGAACACAACACAATAAATAACTAAAAATTTACTAGAACCCTGGAACCATGGATACTGCAAAGCACTGGAAACGTCGAGAATTGAAAAAAACTTTAAATAAGTACGTAAAAAATATATTGTATTTGTAGTAAGCGTAACTATAATTTTCCCAATCTGTTATATAACCCACTTGCCAACCAATTCGTTTGCTTGCCCCTCAACGGAACCATGACAAATAATTACTGTTAGCCTATGACTGCAGGTACACTATGAAGTTATAAACAAAAGCACGAGTGACAAACTTATTCCTAATTTCAAACACTTCGCGTGCAGTAACATTGTAGCTGATTTGAAAGCATCGGAATACTCTACTGTTGGTAAAATCAAATAAGAACCACGAAAAATAATTTAAGATATATAGAAGAAGCAAATGAGATTCTCAAATTAAATAAAGAGCAGAAACTTTATTTAAAGGATCCAAATTACAACCGTGGCTATATAAAATTCATAAAGTGCAGCTACAACATTCAAAACACGCTGTGAACCCGTTTTATTAGGGTATCGGTGAGGCATCAGAACCCAGCTCATTTCTAACTTGAATTACCACCAGTTAGATCACCACAACTATCCAATAACAAGACCTATCCGTCAATCCAAAGGCACCTTTAGGTTTGCAGCTGGATCAAACTATATTAAAAACAGGCAGTCTGATACAACACCGATGGCTGATCTTAAATCAATTGTTAAAACATTACAACAGCAATATCTCAGCACAAATCTAGACTTCAAGGCAACCACGGTTACAAATGAACTAAGCACGCACCAAACACCTGAAGCTAAATAGGACTTTAACTGAGATCAAGTTATGGTTCCATCGTGAGCGTCATTCATCTTAGATTTTCGACCAGATGTAAGTATTATTATATGATCCAATTGGACCTTCGAGCCGGATAAAAAACCAATTTAACTGGAACTGATCAGAGTTAATTTGGTAAGCATTTGAAATACACACGCACGACAGAATCGATCTTTTCTGAAAAGGACCAGTGGAAGGTATAACGAGTTACGTTGCGATCAAGCCACATGTCCAGCAACTTCTTAATGCAATAAATTTAGCAATATTAACGTTATAGTGTCAAGAGGGTGATCTATAAAGAGACCAAAGACGAAAAAAGCATAGACCTCTTCAGTTAAATGCAGATGTAACGGCGTTGAATGTACTCAAATATATAAAAACTGTTTTAAATATTTCACTGTCAGTTTTTTTTTTCAGTTACACAGATTCAGTAGATGGTAGATTAATCTCAGTATCCACAGTAGTTAATTGTACACATACTAACGCCGTGACATCGACTCCTGCAAACCACCAATCAAATACAAGATCGATTTGCTATTCAGTGGCACGCTCCAACACCGATGAGATAAGCCTATACAACTTATTAAACAGCTCTCTCTAATTTGACTGTTTGCTTTCGTCGTGATTTACTTCGAAATTGCCTTGACCAAACATATTGAAGTTACAAAATTAATTCTAGATCCCCAATCCATTCTCATCTGGATGGTTTGCAAAGTTTACTTTCTGCAATTATTAACAGTTACCATTTGTTCATGACTGTCTGTCTACCAAAAGTCCACAGCTTCCGCCATAAATTGACTCATAACAGAGGGATATTTGCCATAGTGGCCACGTTTCTCATGCAAGTTGGCAATCGCAGTTTTTTAGCTTTTGAGTTATTATATTATGCTGATCAAGTTTCAAATGTCGATTGTGAATAGTGGATGGGCAGCTGCATCTTTCCAATAATAACTAAATAATTAAAAACTGCGGTTGCCAATCCGCTTGCCAAGCAACTATGATAAATATCTCCTTACGAGGCAATCAATGCAGGAGGCCTATGTTCAGCAGTGAACTTTAATAGGCTGTAACGGTAAGTGGCAATGGTGAAGGAGTCCGCGACACGACGAAAGCAAACGCCTAACAAGGAGCGGACGCGTGCGAGTGCCGGTACCTGGTAGCGCAGGTGCGGCAGCGATGGCAGCACGGCCGCGCCCCACAGCTCGCCGCCCACCGCTCCCACGCCCGCCACCTGCACCCCACCACTTGTACCACGGCCACGGGCCGCGACTGTACCACAACCCCTCCCAATCGACTAACTATCCCCACTTAGACGCGGATGTAGACGGTACGGTTTTGCTTTATACCCCCGACGCAAACAGAGAGGTGTTATATATTTAACGTGTATATCTGAGTGTCTGTCTGTGGCATCCTAGTTCCCAAACGGATGAACCGATTTAGATTTAGTCTTTTTTTTTTAAAGTGACTTGATCAAATGTTTTTAGGTATGGATTCAATAAAATCTTTTCAGCCATTTAAATACCATCAGCTCCATTTATTCCGAGTATTTTTTTTAATTTTCAGTTTATGTTATTAATAATATTAAGGAATTTATGGATGATAATTAATAATATTAAGGAATTTATGATTATACTGGGAATGAGGTGCATTTTTTATTGTTTGAGTTTTTAACAGAAATATGCTGAAGCCCATCTTCTGTTTCAATTTTCCTCTGTCGCCTCTTACGACACCCAGGGATGATATATTATGGGTATATATATAACAGTTTCTCCACATGCTTGCGGGTTAAAATTGGGGCATTATACTTAATATTGAATATTAAATTTATTTAATACTTTTATTATTGTATAGGAAACTATTAACATTAAAAGACTCCTCCCTTTAGACTGCATCCGCGCCTGTGGCCTATGTCTCATTAGTGTTATCATTTTTTATATATATCAAAACCCCGATATTACCCTAAATAAAAAGTAACTTTCCCATAAAAGTACAGTCGCGCCGCGTTCTGACCTCGTCGAAATATATAGGAACCACTAGTTATAACTATACACGTCTTAACAGTGTAAAATGAACCAAATAATGCTGCAAAGAGAGATGAAAATCCCCTGCACAAATTCCTTATCTTACATATAAATCAAAACACACTTTTACATAAGTAGTGAACGTTCATATGCTATGCCCAGATTGACAAAACATAATCAATCTTCGGAACGTAGTTTTTCCTAAAGTTATTTCTAGTAAAGATTAACAAAGTTTCCTTTTGAAGCAAAACTCAATGGTGAGCTCTCTGCCGTTAGAGAAATATAAATTAATATTAAATGAAGTTCAGAAGTTTCATTGTTAATCCTTACGTAGAAAAAAGAACCTAGTTCATAATTCTAGTTCTTAACTAATTTGACAATATATTTATCCTAGATGAAAGTGTTTTTAATAATGCATTAACAATATTGAACGTCCAGATATTCGTAATGAACAACATATAATATGTATATATAGATCGATTGTGTAAATATATGTACGTATTATTATGTAAGTAAACAATAGGAACATATTATGTAGATTGTATTATAGGTACTAAATGGTTAAATTTGGGCACCTAAGTGATTCTAAATTATTATTCAACCAAAATTTTATCAACAAAATCTAGTAGTAGTATAACATTATCACTGACTATTTTGGAAGAATCAAGACATGTACTTATTATATATATTTTTGTTCAAAACATTTCATCAATAGTATCTATGTATATATAGTATGTATCGAAGGCATCAGTGCAATCTAAACCGTGTTAAATTTGAACTCACGTATCTGTATTTGTAGCATTTCGATATGTTGTGTTATCTATATATAACATTATATTTAAAAAAGAAATAAAAAAAGAAAATAATATTATTGTTGGTATTTTCCAGTTGGCATTTAAAACTCTTGTTGTATTTTAAAGAAAAATGTTACGTAACAACCATTAAACTTGATTATTACACAGTTTGAGATGTACGTATTAAATAGTTCTCGAAATTTCTAGCGCTATACTTGAAATTTCACTTTATTTTATCTGTTGTACAAAATGGAGAACTAAAACATAATTATGAAATTTAATTAACGTTGAGCGTAAAGATGAGAACCGAGAAAAAGTAAAATTGCAACAAGACTACTTGCCGTTATAAATGAATCATTATATATATATATATATATATATTTTATGACTAATAAATATATGTTTTATAATTCGTAATAAATATATAATAATGGATCTATCGACGATGTTTTCGACTACTAAAACTAACTTTAATAATAAAACAATATGTTATCATTAAGAGGCTTTCCCCAAGGAACGCTACATATCATGGTCCTTATCATCCCAGTGCTAACTTCTTCGTTAATCTGGTGGTCGTAAACGTGACTGCTGATAATGCAGTACTGAGTTCGAATCCAAATAAATCAGCAATTGAGTTTTTGTCAAAAATACTTAGTAGCAGCCGATGCAGGCAGTTGGCAGTGGTTCACCGTCGTGCCTCTGAAAGCACTCAAAGCCTTTGGTCTTGCGCCTGCTCACTCTTTGGTCGTGTCGGATTGCTGTACCATAGGACTAAGAATAAGTAGTTAATCGGCACTGCAGTCCTTGCAGTTAAATACACACTTGTGTAACTCTGACAATTAAGAGTGATTACATCACAAGTTACATATCAATAATAAATAAGATAAATGGTACATATACTTAGTAATATTTATTTATAAATTATATATTGGAAAAACTGTATGTATATACAGTAATAAAATATCAACATAATTCAGTAGTAACACTGAACTTTTGCCCTTCTCCATTTTGGACTTGGCTTATAGCAAGTGCAGTGTTAAAGTGCACTAAATTAATAAATCCAGTTTTACTGGTTAAAAAATTCTTAGCGTGTTTTATTTAACATATATCGTGATGTCGGTTGGTTTCTCAATCATCTATACGCTAAACGCAAACAATCGGAATGTGGCGCGTGTGGCACGTGCGGTACGTGGTGACGTGTGTACCTGCGTGCGCTGCGCGTGCGCGTGATCTCGCGCGTGCGCGTGTGCGTGCGCGTGCGCGTGCGGCCAGCCTACGCCGCCGCCCAGCGCGCCCAGCCGAGCGCCGCGCAGCGACATCTAGCGAACAACACGCAACATACAGGAGTATGCCTATACTTACGTTAAACACTCGCTGCCCGCGGTGCAATAAAATGGGGAATTAGGACGCCAAATATTGAGCTCTCTGTCGCACTTACGGGCCTTATGGCAAGCAGTGACGCACCACCGTTATGTCGATGTGTATATTTTGAAAAAGTAAACAGTGCAAAATAAAAAGAAAACTATTCAACAATTACATTTATTATTTGTCAAAATACATACCTAGACTAAATAAAACTAATTAAAATTTTAAATAGGTATAAAGTAATTAATCTTCATCCGAGTAAGTGACTGTCGCTAAACGTAATTAATAATTATTAAATTGCCCTTACAGAGTAATTATTAAATTTCCCGCACTTTTAAAAAAATTACCGCACGCCAACGCACTTTTCTTCACCTTCTAACAATCAATAAGCAGTTATCGATAAATGACGCACCGCAAGCGTCTGTTCCTAGCGCTCCGATAATTTATTGCACTGTGGGTAGCGAGTGTTTAACATTAATATAATTACTGGAGCCGTAAGAAATAGATTAATTATATCGAAAGAGATTTGTTTCTTGCAATCATTATTCATATCAATATTATATATTCAATCATTGACGGCTCCGTGGCGCAGTGGCTTAGCAATGAGTTGCTGCGCTGGGGGGCGCGGGTTCGAATCCCGCACGGAACAAGTATTTGTATGGCCTACAAATGATTGTTCCGGGTCTGGATGTTTGTCCTTGTGAAATTTGTGTTTGTAAACTGCCTCCACGATACAGGAGAAAATCCTAGTGTAGGGGTAACGTCATTAAAAAAAAAAGATTATTATGATCTCCGAATCTCTATCGGTACCTCATTACAGAAGTCTAACTTTCAAATTGGTACTATTCAAAAAAAGGACAGAAGATTTTTAAATAAGCCCAAAATTAATAAAATATTTTTACTTCCACTTATAAGCACGGATAACTTTAAAAGCATGGGGAAAATGCAGTAGCAAAAACATGAAAATGTCTATGGCACCAAAATTGTCTTTTGATTTTTCTTATAAATTAGATATTGCAAATTCTTATAATATTGTAACTGGTTTTTCGAAACGACAAACGATTTCGATGAAATTCTGTATGTATCTAATGTTTTACTTTCCAAAAGTCTATCAACATTGCAGGTGTCATATATCCCTAAAAAAATCTATCGCCAAAATAAGCTTAGTCTCGACCAGGTACCATACGCATAAACAATTTTTTCATTAATAATTTCAATATGAACTAGATCAAAAACATCACTAGATACGCTTGCGCTATAATCTTAGAAAAAAGAAATGATTCCATGAATTCACTTGCCTTTTGGGAGTTAATAATGCACAATAAGCTTTTGAAGACATTTCTTTTTTCATATTTTACGTTTTTAATGCCCGACGAAAACAGGGGAATATTTAACGTGTGTATCTGTGTGTCAGTATGTGGCTCCCAAACGGATGAACCTAGTTAGATTTAGTATTATTTGTTTGAAAGGTGACTTGATCGAGAGTGTCATGGCTATGATTCAAGAAAATCCTTTCAGCGGTTTGAATATCATCAGCTCTTTTTGTTTCGAGGGTTTTTAAATTTTCAATTTAAGTTATACAGGGTTATTTTTCAAAGAGCAGCCAAATTTTATATTTAAGTCCAAATATATAAATAATGATATATACATACATACAGACATATAATTACGCCTCTTTCCCGTAGGGGTAGGCGAGACCACTTCTTTCCACTTGCTACTATCCTTACATACTTGTTTCGCTTCGTCCACTTTCATTATTCCCTTCATACATGCTCTACGGTTTAGGGTACTCTTGACCTGGCCTTTTTTCAAGACATCCCTGATTTGGTCTAGAAATGTCCGCCTAGGTCTACAGGGGTAGACCTAGCCAGACATTGGAAGTTGAGACAGTTGGAAGGGTCCAACACTTTCATTCACATTCGCCTTATACACTTTTATCGTCAATCGTTCTTCATTCATTCTCGCGACATTGCCAAACCATCTCAGCATACCTTCTCAATTTTTGTCACTACATCTTCTTTCAGAGCACAACGTTTCCTTATCTCACTATTTCTTATCCTCTCACTCAGTTTAACTCTTATCATATTTCTTAACGCTCTCATCTCAACTGCATTTATTCTGCTTTCATGTTTCTTCTGCCATACCCAACTTTCACTTCCGTACATGAGTGTCGGAACCAACACCCCCTCGTGCACAGCCGACTGCTCATAAAGGAGTGCAAAGCTCCATTCACCATGTTTCCTGCATTCACTCTTCTTTCGATATCACTCTCACACTTTCCATCTCTTGTAAACTTTGAACCCAGATACACAAACTCTTTCACCTGTTCAATTTGTTCATCTTCAATCACGATATTGCAGTCTGTCATTTAAAAGTGATTTGTGTGCGATTCAAATTCACATTTTCGTTTCTCAAGTTTTTGCCTACTGTTTACTTTCTTAGTGACACGCTTACTACTAATGCTTAAGTTAATAACTACATGAAGCGAATTATGACTCCAGTTTTTTCTATTAATTTTTAACGTGCATACTATCGTCATAACAAAATAAAATTAAAATAGTTTAGAAAATTAAAAATTGCACGCCACATGAGGGTTTATATTATTTACGTGAATTAAATTTAACACTCAATTATTTTAACAGGTAGTTTTTTTATAGGATAAGGGTGACAAACGAGTACACAGTCCACCTGATGGTAAGTGGTTGCTGTGGCCCATAGCCATCTGCATCTATCCTCGATTACGAATCAAAATGTAGATGCGTTGTCACCCGTGAGGACTAAGATGGAATGCCTCTTTTCCAGTAAAAAGGGTCTCCGGTTCTCTACAATCACCATACGAAACACAGCAGCATTAAGCTGCTCTTTTACGCTGGTATTCTGTGAGAGCGTGGTCTTTCCCCGGTCGAGCCGACCCATTCGTGCTACAACTATACCAGTAATATAGCTGCAGCATGGCTCTACCACGTAAAAAAAGAAAAAATATGTTACCTACAGGGAAAAAATAATGATTACCAAAATAAATCGAATACACAAAGTATAAAATCGATATATTATGCTGTATGGTACATTTGTCCTTTGTCTATCAAATGCTAAAAAAAAATTATGTTTATATATTTTTTATATATAGGATAAGGGTAACAAATGAGCACACAGTCCACCTGATAGTAAGTGGTTGCTGCGGCCCATAGATATCTATATTTCAATGTAGATGTCTATGGGCCGCAGCAAGCCAGCAGGAACCGTCTTATTCCATTGCACATTTGGTTAATTTTTTGAAATATTGCTGTTAAACAATCTTTTCGATGACGTATTAAACATTTCCATTTTCGCTAATATAGACTTGAGGCGATGGATATACTTAATATCGATATACACGTGCCTTATAAAGAAAAAATTGGTAAACTTAATAAATTGAATTTTAAAGCTTGCAACTTGAATTGTTGTCAAAAAAAAACACTGACGTTACTACAATAACCTTACAATACAAACCCTTTTCAATATATTTGAACGTTGAACTTTTTAACAGTCGTATTCGTGTAAATTTGGCTATAAGAGAATTTTCGAAAAAAAAAAATAGATCGAATTCGCTGAAGTTTGTTCTAACACAGCCTATTAAAAGTCCACTGCTGAACATAACCGTCCTATATAGATTGCGTCATAGGGATATTCGCCATAGTTGCCACACCGGCGGGTTGAAACCGCAGTTATTTTTGTCCTTACAGGAGGAAGACTCTGTTGCCCATCTCTTGGTTTGTTTCTCACTGTGGTCTCTTACGTAAGCCACGGGATGATATGGGGTAGTGGATATTCTTACACCGCCATTCTCTTCATTGTTGTCTGTCTATCTTATCAGAGTCAAAAGAGAGGGTAAAAGTCCCGTTGGGTGTCTTGATGGACCTTCCCAGTACAGTGTTTTTTTTTCCAAACAAATGTTGAAGCATAAATGATTTTCAATAAGTAATCTTGGTCTATTGTACTCTATCTCTGTACACAAAAATCAATTGCTGTCCGTTAGTCTCGCTAAAACTCTAAACTGAGTCGACCAATTCTGATGAAATTTTTTGTGTGTGTTTGGGTGGGTTTGAGGCGCTTTTTGGCGCTGTAGTCGAGATCCACAAATCACCCGTGCGAAGCCGCGGCGGACTGCTAGTGTTGAATATAAGATATTATATTATTATATTGTAATGATAGTGAGCGTGTCGCTCACCTGGTTGATGTCGAGCAGCAGCGGCGTGTGGTGCGCGTGGTGTGGGTGGTGCGGGTGGTGGGGGTGGGGCGGGTGGTGCGGGTGGTGGTGGTGTGCGACGTGAGGCGCGTGCGGCGCGGCGTGCGCCTCGTGCGCCCACACGCCGCCCCCACCGCTCATGTAGCGCACGCGCCGTCTGTAACCAGACAAATTATATTCTTCAGTACAACCACGCCTCTGTCACTTACTAGCTGCTAAACGTAAATGCCTACGATCGCGCGGAACCTCACGTTACGTACACAGTCGTCAGGAGCGACGTATAAATAGTGACCTGATTTATCACTTGGTCTGTAACAATAATTCTTCTGTACATGTCTGTCACTGAAGTCCTCCTAAACGGCTGGACTGATTTTGATGAAATTTTTACGTGTGTTTGAGTGGGTTCTTTGATATAGTTAAAATTCACAATTGGTCCCGGTAGATGGCGCCGTTGTCAATAACGCGGAGAAAAATCGTTAGTTAAATGTAATTATGGAACTAATAGTTTAAAATGATATATTACGCAATATTTAATTATATATTCTTTATACCCTACCATGTGAGAATACCAATAAGAAAAGCGAGGTACTTACGGAGGTTGATAAGGCAGTCTGGGCGTCCGCCGTTCGACGACTGGGGTTGCCACTGATACGTTGCTTTCACCTAAAATGTAATAAATTATGAGAACAAAACTTAAATTAGTAATAATATAATATGGTACTGTTAGCTACACTGCTCTTTTTATTAACGTAGTTCAGCTATGCTGCAGCTACATTGTGGTTACAGCTGTACAGCTAGAATGACTCAACTGGGTAAGAACCACACTTTCACAGAATACCAGCGTGAAATAACTGCTTAATGTTGCTGTGTATAATAAGTGCAGATAATAAGCATTCCATCTTGTCCTCAAGGGTGATAGGGCATCTACAATTTCATGTTGGTTTTAAAAAGAAGGTTATGGCCACAGCATCCACTTACCATAACGTGAACTGTGTGCTCGTTTGTCACCCTTATTTTATAAAAAGCAACACAAAAACACCTTAGAATTTTTTTTCGGCTTACGTGGAGAGCCATGGTGCGTCTGTATCTGCTGGTCAGCTTTGTGTTCCATATTATGACGAGAAGTTGAGCAGTGAATCCCCCACCATGATCACTGATCTAGTATATATATAGACAGACGGCGATGACTGCCTCGTTGGTCTAGTAGTTGTAAACGCCATCATGAGGTCCTGGGTTCGAATCTCAAGTAGTGCCAAAAACCGCTGCCCAGAGTCAGGAAGCTAGCGATATCTCGCCCCCGTGCTTCGGAAAACACGTATAGAAGTTGGTTCTGTGCCTGATCTATCTTCAGTCGTGTCGTTTTACTGTCCCATCGGACTATAAACGTGTGGAAACAGAGTGTGCACATTTGCTTGCGCAAACACTCGGGCACTATAATAATCCTGTCCTGCGCAGATGGCTAGTCTTTGTTGAGGCTGGCCGCCGTGTACGAAATTCAATCTGGAGGTCATTATTGGACAGACAAAAGAAATCTACGAGGTAGAGCCAAGCTGCAACTATATTAATGGTATAGTTGTCGCACGAATGGGTTGGCTTAACTGGGGAAGGACCACACTCTCACAGAATATCAGCATAAAATATCAGCTGAACGCCGCTGTATTTCGTATGGTGAATGTAGAGAACTGGAGATGATCTTTTTACTGGAAACGAGGCATTCCATCTTAGTCTTCACGGGTGGCAGCGCATCTGCATTTTGATTCATAATCGAGGATAAATGTAGATGTCTATGGGCGACAGCAACCACTTTCCATCAGGTGGACTATGTGCTCGTTTATCGCCCTTATCCTATATAAAAAAAAATATGTACCTGAGGAGAGGTGCCGCGATATGCGCCGTCGCTTCCTGCTGGGACTGTCGCCCGCCTTACTCGACAGCTCGCCGTCAGACGAGCCCGCGCTCACTAGCGGCTCGACGCCACCTTCTAGCGGATTCGTGTCCTGCAATTTGATCGAAATTACTTCTTTCAATATTTATAGTATTGTAATTTTTAACCGACTTCGAAAAAGGAGGAGGTTCTCCATTCAGATGTCTATATTTTTTATGTAAATATGTTCGGGTATAACTCCGTCATATACAGACGGATTTGCAAAATTATTTTTTGTTCGAAAGAGGTTTATTGGGAATGGTGCCATTTAAATTTCGTAATAATCTGATGATGAGTTTCTGATACAGACAACGGAACTTCAATAAATGCCAGCAAATCAACCACGACTGCTGCTATCGCATACATATCTAAGCATCGTTTAGGCAATTATACAACATATCACTACGCCTGTACCCTCTAAATATATGGATGGTATGGAGATGTGTTGAGTATACCACGGTACACCCTCATTTCTGTCAAAGTTGTTATATTAAAATTGGTTGTACAAAATTATTAATTTTACCACTTGTATAGTAGGTAGTGTCAGGGTATGGTCAGCTCTAAGTTATTCATTAGAAACTAGTGACTCGACGCCACCATCTGGCGTAATCGAGTCTTGAAATTTAATTCATAGAATCTGGCATTACTTTGCCGAAATCCATTATATTAAAGATGGTAAAAATTAATTACCTAACATCTGTGTAGTAAAAAAAAAATGATACGAAGAATTCCCTCCCTCAATTGCGTCCACTATCCCCGTCACCACTACTCCCAACATCACTACACTATGAAAGATACACCACCGTCAATAATGCAACACGTGTTTCGCTTCTAAACGAGGCATGATCAGGTGAAGTTGAGCGTGCTGTGCTGAAGCTGAGCGGTCAGCCACCGCAGAGTTTATTTCACACCCCACACGATGGAATAGACCGATAAAAAATCACCTGTATGGGAAGTACCCAAAATAAAAATGGTTTTCAAAATTTTATACCACAACTTTGTAGGCGTGATTAATATCTATAATTATGCCAAATTAAAGTTTTGTAGCGCCTAGGGTTTCCGGGAAAAAACGCGAACGGACGTACGGACACGGCGAAACTGAACCATTCCAACCATCTGGATGATTGCTGGTCCACCACTCTGCGATTGAGAAGATGTTTTCTTCCTCGCACAACTTCCCTGAGGAGTCGACTACCACATGAGATTTTTCCGGACCGACACGACTTAGAGACCTTCAAGAAAAGAGTCTACTCTTTTTTAAAAGACCGGCAACGCATATGCAATTCTCCTGATGTTGCAGTTATTCATGTAGTTCAATAGTCCCTTACCATCAGGTAAGCCGCATGCTCGTTGCCACCTCTCCTATAAAAAAAATGACCGGTCCATGTTATTTAACTACGGAACCCTAAAAACAGACCTTCAATTAGTTTTTCGATGATTGGACTAACTAGTCCAAAGACCACTAATTCTATCTCCAGGTTTTTTAAACTATTCCAAGCCAGTGCTTGGCGCTATCCCACCTGGCTGGTGATGCAGCCAAAGGTATTAAGGCGCTCTCACTTAGCTTAAGAAAAGACATTGTGATAAGATGAAATGACACATACTGGCTACTTATTCCGCTCTTTTGCTGTACGCGTGACGAACTATGAAACTATCAATTTTTAGGGTTCCGTACCCAATGGGTAACCAACGAGACCCTATTACTAAGCTTCCGCTATCCTTCCGTCCGTCCATCTATCTGTCAGCGGGCTGTATCTCATGATCTGTAATAGGTAGATAGGAGAGATAGGTAGTTGCCACAACAACAAATAATAAAAATAAATTAAATATTAAAGAGGGGTCCCCTACATTCAAGCGCTAGTCCGACTCGCACTTGTTTGCACTTTTTTATGTTGTTACGTGTACAAAATCGCGGATAAAAGCTAGTAAATAAATTAATTAATTAAAATGGTTTTAAAAAGATACTTTACCATGTGGTGATGGTGTGGTGTGTGGTGCATATGTGGTGGCTCTGCGGAGGGTCCGGCTCCGGGACTCACCCTCATCTCTGAAACGATAAACGAGTGTTTATAATTTTCATAATTTTCCAATCGTTTAGAGTCCAAGGGTAACAAACAGGCACCAAGTTTGGGTAAGGCTAAGGACATTCTGTGACTTGTAGTAACCGTACGATCGTTAACAGACTCGAGGCCGATTTTTTTAATATCGTAAATGTTGTCAACATTTTTGGTGGAGACGCGCCTTAATATCGTCTCAGGTGACGAATCATGGATTTATTCATACGAACCTGAAAGAAAACATCAGTCAGCAGTTTGGGTCTTCGAAGACGAGGTCGAACCAACGAAAGGGGTTCGCTCCCGCAGCGTGTCAAAGAAAATGGTCGCTACGTTTGTCTCGAAAAAGGGGCATGTTGCTACAATTCCTTTTCAGAAACGCAGAACGGTTGTGTATAATCGGAACGGAGTGGTATATCACGGTTTGTTTGCCAGAAATGATAGCCGAACTCCGAAAAAATAACCCGAAACGTCGCATCATCTTACATCACGATAATGCGTGCTCGCATACGGCTCGGAAGACAAATGATTTTTTGAAGCAGGAAAACGTTGAGCTGTTGAGCCATCCTCCGTACAGTCCTGACCTGAGCCCAAACGATTTCTTTATGTTCCCTAGAATGAAAGATTTACTACGCAGTCAACGGTTTGAAGATCCCGAAGCAGCTGTGGAAGCGTACAAATCAGCCATTTTGTCATTACTGTTTTAATGATTGGTTTGCACGAATTGAAAAGTGCATTAAGTTGAACTGAGAATACTTCGAAAAACAATAAAATACAATTTAGCTATACCGTGCATGTGGTTTTTCTTATTCCCGATCATTTCAGTGTGCCCCTCGTATTATTGATTAACAAATACAAATAAATGGATTACTAGCGTATATTTCTTTCATGGTAAGATAAAAGTGCGAGGGAGATGGATATTATTCCATCTCGCTTCCTTATAGCCGCCAAGGCCGTCTACACTACGTCAGAAGGGGTCGTGACGGAAAAATCTTACACTTTTTCTTGCCCCCTCATCCGCCACATTCGTATAATCCTATAAGGAACTTCGTTCCAAAATAATTTTCACTTTCTCACCGCCGCCGGAGACACCGCCAACTTCCTGACTCCGGGCTGATACTGATTATTTATTAACAGAAAATCCCAATAAGCGATTTTGACGCGACCCTGGAGTCGAACCCAGGACCTCACGATGAGCCATCGCGTTTACGCTGACTAGAGCAACGAGGCAGTCAAAAAACCCTTATTCTACAAAAAAAAATAGGCCCCGAGCCAGTTAACAAGTGTACAGTCGCGGATACATTGTATCTGGGCTGGGGTGCTGACGCGCGTGCTCTCGCTTACGCAACCGGCGAAACGGTTTGTTAATGCACACCGCCCGTGGGGAAAGTTGATCCGAGCGGTGCGGCCATAAAGCAAGTCAGGCGGACCAAGCCCCGAAAACGAAAGTATACAAAGTACATTACTTTGCTATGCCCGTCGTATTTTTAGCTGTGTTGTTCTTATTTAATATAAATTAATAGTAAAGAAGCATTTTTAAAAACAATCTTAAATACAATAAAAAGAAGAAAATAAGCTTTAAATTAAATCAAGCCCATCAATATATTGCATAACACAATTTATACGATATAAAAGCTTGTCGCGAGATTTACGTGAGTGTACATAAACAAGAATACAATAGGTAACTGAATATTGAGATATCTAGATAATTCTTCTAGACAAAAGTAATGTTTCTTTTATGAAATAGGTAAACTGAGAGAATGAGACAAATGTACAGTATCAGGAGTAGAATAATTGTAGGGTTTATTTCATCATCATCATGATTACAGCCCTTCACAAGTCCATTGCAGAACATAGGCCTCCCCCAAGGAATGCCACAAAGCATGGTCACGAGTCACCTGCATTCATTGACTTCCTGTATGTCTTACTAGGGTTTATTTATTATAACATTATTACTAAGTTTAAAAATTATCTCTACATAGTACAAAACAAAATCCCTTCCCACCGTCTGTACTCCTAATCTTTTAATCTTCGCAGCGGATTTTGATGCGGTTTTCATCAATCGACAGAATGATACAGTAGGAAGGTTTTTATGTATATAATACATCCACATTATATAGTAATATAATTCTTCTATCCGTGTGTATGTGACTGAACTCGTCCTAAACGGCTGAACCCGTTTTGATGAAATGTCGTGTGTGTAATTAATTTGATTAGAGAATGGTTTAAATTCACAATTGGACCCGGTAGGTGGCGTTGTTGTCGAAATCCAGAAATCAACTGTGCGAAGCCGGGTCGGATCGCTAGTATTATAAATAACAGGAAACACTATAATATACTGTATTCTATCTCATTCTCTCGCAGGCTAAATTCTAGAGATGTATATATGTGTCTCTTTTTAGTATAGCTTTCACTTCCAAAGAAGTTTTACTTCAAAAACAGATCTACGTTTTAAATTTTAAAATATTGGAACGCTTCTCCTGAAAAGTGCAATAAACATATTACAATTACTTCGTTGTTCTGCTGGATGAGAAATGTGTAATTGACATTTATGACATTATAAAGTGATGGATTCCTTAATCCTACTCTACACGGTCGTAGATAGACTGGTTTTAAGCCTTAAATTATTTTTGGAGGAGCTTTTCAATTCGTCTGTGTGTTTTTGTATGTATATTGCGCATTCTTCGTAAATTGTTTCTTCGTAACTTTAGTGGGGGCCAATATAACTTTAGACATAAATCCAACCCTGAGGGTGGAAACAGCAATGAAGTTTTGAATGTAATTATTTAGACGACATTATAAGTCAAAAAAATTTAACGGTTATAAAAAGTTAAAGCCCACTTCAAATGAGAATATATACAATACAATATAACAATTTCCACTAAGTGACAGCAATAATTTAATTTTAATTATGTACACAGATGTAATATTTTGTTTTTATTATAATAATCTTAACAAAGAACTAAAATCGCTCTTCATGTGGCCACACCTACCAGCGAGAGTTTCGCGGAACGAGGCACGTATGACAGAGAAATTTTAGATCAGCGCGATTTTTAGCAGTTTTAATACGGTCCTACGTCACAGAATAAATAATAGTACTACGTACGTACAGAAGTTGCACTCCTTTGATGTTGACTGCTTACCGACGTTTTAATAGCCTACATAATTATTATTATTAATCAGATAAATCGCGCACGTAAGGTAAATAAATGAATATGACCAGGTATCATCTTTTCGTACTCTGTTTACCTGGCTGCCTATCCGTCAGCGCAGATATGTTAAAATACTCTGCACTCTTTTCACTATCCTGAACGATCCTTGTGCTCTTGAGTCTTGAAATGTAGATTTCGGTACCTAGAAGATACTTATAATTGTTTTCTCCGTTCTTCGAATAATCTAAAGTTGCTAACGCCTTTACACCGTACACGTACACTTTACACTCTTTCGGCTTTAAGACTGGAACGATACCTCTTGACATTAAAAAAGCTTCCAACAAGTTTCTTTTTAAAAACAAAGTTCGTGAATATTTTAGTAAAACATTGCAAGTGTGAATTAATGCTTTTTTAGTTTACTTTTGCTGCACTACCTCCCATATGTTTATCTCTGCTTAGCCTAATGGCTGACTGGGAGAGAATGCCTTAAGGCATTAAGTCCGCCATATGTACGAATTTTCTTTTGTGCATAAAAGTTTAAATAAATAAAATAAATAAATAAAACTTTATCGATGCTCGCGAATGTCCGTATTACTTTGCATTTGCATCTTTTCTCCTTCCTACGTCACAACGGACTTTCCGTGGTTACTAAGGCCTGTTAATAAAGAATAACAAAATACGTTACGAAATGGTATGTTACTTAGGTAAAGTGCCTATTCTGAGTCTGATTATGATCGACCATATTTCCGCTACTATGTGTATTTCAAATTTTAATAACGCACAACGGACTGAAAAATGAAACTGAACACAAAGATTCTTAATTTAAAAATAATAACAGTTAGAGCATTATACAATTAAAGTTGTGTTAGACATTATTAAGTACATAACAGATTGTAGTGAAATAATAAGATTTCCTAAGTTAACGGTAATATTTAATATACAGTCACTTGAATGCGCGTTTTTGGGATTGTGACATGCCAAAGTACTGACGTTGTGAGGACAAGTGTCGTTTCACAAACTTGTTAAAATAAATACCTAAAATTGGGTGACCAAATAAACTGCTTTTAATCGTTTTAAAATAAAATAATAACAAAATGTAATAAAATGTCGTATCTATTGACTAATGACATCGAGTTACCCAACTTTTGTATATTCACCCATATATATTATTCTTAAATTACATTAAAACTTTTTCAACTATTTTATCCTACAATTAAATATACTAAACACTAAGCAAAACCTATTTCGACGAGTATTTCAATAAGTATTTACGAAAAACTATTTACGTAAACAGCGTACATTCAATCTCCTAGAACGCGCTAGCCCCGCATGCATTCTATCCCGGGGGCGCCTCGCGATTGTCGGTAATAATTTCACGCAGGTAGCAAGAGTGACATGGCCTGGTTACGTCATTTGGTTATATCGACAGTCCTCGCAATAAGTAAGTTATTTTTATTACATCAACTTTCCAGAGTTAAAGCAGTGCGTAGCAGTGCTTGCGCTGCTGTGTACTGGTTTGAAGGCTATAAAGGCCAGTAAAGAAAGAAATAACACGTTTATTTATTGCTGCATTTTACAAAACATCAATTTTAAAAACTTTATTAAATATTTAAACAAAATTGCCACCGATTAATAACGCTACAGTAACAACAGTTACCCGTTGCGCTGATATTCTGTCAGAGTTAATCAAAGTTAATATTGAACATTATATTATGTGCATTAAAGTACCTACTAACTACTAGCGATCCGCCCCTGCTTCGCACGGATGATTTCTGGAACTCGACAACAGCTCCACCTATCGGGTCCAAATGTGAATCTAAGCCATCTCTCTTCTTTTTTATTGAAAAGAGTGACAAACGATCACACAGTCCACCTGATGGTAAGCGGATACTGTGGCCCACAAACATCCACATCAATCCTCGACAAAGAATCAAAATGCAACGTTGTCTCACCCCTGAAAACTAAGATGAAATGTCTTGTTGATAGTGTAAAGGTTCTCTGGTTCTCTACGTTCAACATTCGAAACACAGCAGCATTAGGCTGTTATATTACGCTGGCATGGTTGTGTGAGCGTGGCCCTTCCCCGGTCGAGCCTACCCATTTGTGATAAAACCATACCTGCAGCACGAGTAGGATAACACAAGTGAGAACATCAGTTTGAGGGTTAATATGGCACTATAATATCACCGGCGCAGTAGACAACTGGACAAATTAGTTAAAGTTACAGCCTATATACGTCCCACTGCTGGGCAGAGACCTCTCACTTATGAGAGGGTTTTAGGGACAAGGAAGTGTCCGGCGCGCTGCCCCAATGCGTGTTGGTGGACTTCACACGTCTTCGAATTATTTTTTTTAATACTCAGATATGCAGGTTTCCTCAGGATGTTTTCCTTAACCGCGGAGTGCACGTGGTCACATCAGCACTTAAAATTGCAATTAACAATTTCATTTGAGTCGTAGGGGATCGAACCCGGGTTGCTCGCGAACTGTGAAATATAGAGCGAGCGTTTAGCCCCTGAACCTATCACGGCTCGCTAGGCAAATTAGCCAGGACGACTTCATAGCCCGCTCAGTTAACTGGTTGTATAACCGGAAGACTATTCAATGTTCACAACCGGTAGGAGAACATCACTTTCACCGCTATAAAGTCATTGTTTACGACCGTGTTACTAAGCGGTTAGTCAGTAACCTAACATCTAACGGATTAGCGATTTCAGGTTCGAAATACACAGTATTAAAATGAAACTAATAATTAAATAGTTAACCACGGCTGGTTACTTGTAAAGTACTCAAACGTCAGGATTATAAAATAAGTTAATATACGCGATTAAATCTGTAAAATCTAGTTTCATTTATATGAGTAGTGTTCCCGTAAACGTAAGAAATCAATATATAGTAGTTTTTTGGTTCAAATGGTATAGCACAATCTATATACTACATCTGCTACCTAACCTCATCCCGTGGGTATCGTAAGACACGACAAAGGGAAACTAAAAAAACAGAGGATGGGCAGCAGAATATTCCATTTCCATTTATAAAAAAAACTGCGGTTGCCAGTTCGCCTGCCAAGCACATCAACTACAGGAAAATATCCCCTTATAAGATATCCCAGTCTATTGTCAAGTAAACAAGTCAGTCACTGCTTATGTACAGCAGTGAACGTTAAATAAAAAAAAAGTCAAACGTAGGACTGTACTTCAGAAGTGGAAATAAAACTTAGTTTCACAAACTTGTAAACATTATTTTTCGGTTGTCAGGAAATATTTTTAGGTAATCTTTTATATATAGTAATGAAATTTTCATTTATTGTGCATATATATATATACATGAAAAAGAATGATTATCTATACTTCTAGCTATCCAAACATCGATCGTTTTTTATTAGTGATCGATGTATACAAATAAATAAAATTGAAGTGTCTGTTTGTGATGTCAAAATAACAGCTTTTTACTAATTGCATGTATACAGTACTTATAACAAATACACAATATTTAACATTTTTGTCTGTCCGTCTGTGTCTGTCTGTCTGTCTGTCTGTTTGTTCCGGCTAATCTCCGAAACGGCTGGACCGATTTTGATGAGACTTTCACTGGCAGATAGCTAATATTATAAGGAGTAACTTAGGCTACTTTTATTTTAGAAAATGATTTAGGGTTCCGCGCAAAAAAATTAAAAAGAAATTACACGCGGGCGAAGTCGCGGGGTACAGGTAGAGTTATTTATATAATACACGAATTTCTTGACAGAAAACCTCAATACCTGATTTTGGAACCAAATGCTCAGCAGTTGTGATTACGATTACTACTGTGATTACTACTGACACAAACGAGGCAGTAATTATAAAAAAAAGCAAAGAACGACCTTTAAAACATAAGCAATAAAGTGTATAATTCTTTACCAGGACGTCGACGCTCTGATGGCCCGGCCGCACGGCGTTCGGCACGCCGAGAACCACCCGCGCCACCGCCTGCCCAGACACAATATTTAGTATATTATTATATTATACACACAACATAGTGGAATTGTTCGGATTAATCCCAGCCGCCAAATTTCAGTCACTTGGAAGGGAAGGCCAAATTGGCCTCTAAAAAGCTTGGCGTGCTCAGCAGGGCGGAACAGTATTTCATGCCGGCACACCGCCTGCAACTTTACAAGGTGCAAGTTCGGCCTCACATGGAATACTGTTCCCATATCTGGGCAGGGGCTTCCCAGTGCCAGCTCCTTCCACTTGACCGCATCCAACGCAGAGCTGCTCGAATCGTCGACGACCGAGCCCTTTCCGATCGGCTCGATTCATTGGCACTGCGAAGAGATGTTGCATCCCTTTGCATTTTCTTTCGCATCTACCATGGGGAGTGCTCTGAGGAATTGTTCGGATTAATCCCAGCCGCCAAATTTCACGAACGCACATCGCGGCAGAACTCCCGATACCATCCACACCATCTGGATGATTGGCGGTCCACCACTGTGCGATTTAGAAGATGTTTTCTTTCTCGCACGACCTCCTTGTGGAATCGATTACCATCAGCGATTTTTCCGGACCGATACGACTTAGGGACCTTCAAGAAAAGAGCGTACTCCTTTTTAAAAGGCCGGCAACGCATCTGCAATTCCCCTGGTGTTGCGGTTGTTCATGGGCGGCGGTAGTCACTTACCATCAGGTGAGCCGCATGCTCGTTTGCCCCCTCTCCTATAAAAAAAAAAAATATATTATAGAACGGCGGGTGAGTTTTATATAGAATAAGTGAGACAAACGAGCAGAGTCCATGTGAAGCTAAGTGGATGGTGTGGACCATAGACATTTACAACTATCCTCGATTGAAAATCAATATGCAGATGCGTTGTCACCCTGAGGACTAAGATGGAATACCTAGTTTCCAGTAAGAAGATTATCTAAATTCACCATGCCAAACACAGCAGCATTAAGCAGCTATTTTACGCAGGTATTCTGTGACAGCTTGGTCCTTCCCCGGTCAAGCCGACCCGTTCGTGAAAGTACCATAATATTGCTGCAACGTGACTTTACCACGTATAAAACCAGTGGACGACGATTAAGGACAATCATTCCTGAATCGGGAGAGATTCATGTCCAGCAATGGACTGTTAGGGCTGATACAGAAAAAGGAGAATAAAAATCACCAGTCAGCAAAGTCTAAAGACTGCTTCGATCTTTGCTGACTGGTGATTCCTTTAGGAAATAAGGGAGATCTTCTTCTTTTGGTGAAGCTACGCTGCAGCTGAATTAACACGAACGTGGAGGGATGAGCCTCGACTGGGGAAGAAACACTCCCGCACGGAATACCAGCGTGAAGTACTACTACAACGTATAATACTACTGTTTTTCGTATAGTTAACGAGGAAAGTGGAAACACTTTAACGAAGCATTCCATCGTAGCCCGCAACGGTGACAACGCCTCTACATGTTGATTCCTTATTAAAGATAGATACATAAAATGGTATATATCTATCTTTAATAAGGAATCAAAAGTTTAAAGACTCTCTTATCCTTAAAGCGAAACACCAACTGTGTGCAGCACGTACTGCAGTTTGGCCTTGACCTACCCAGCTCCTACTCCTCAAATACAAAAGGGCCCGTTTACCTAATTCTGCACTCACTTCGCCCCTGTGCGTAGTAAATAAATGGAAAACTTTAGAGACGTATATGCGAGTGGGTATTCTTGAAAAGGCCTTCTTTCGGCGAAGAATAAAAAGTCTGAGAAAAAGATTTAGCTGCGACCTTTGACATATTATGTAAACGTATATTATACTTCAACGGCGGCGACAGACAGCCAAAGTGTCGTTAGATAGCTTAAAAGCTATAATTTAAATAAAATTATATTCAGTTAATGTTAAGTCGGTTAAAAAGGTTAACCGCGATACCCTGTGAGAGACAGCTTGTTTAATCTATTGAAGGATTCTGGAACTTGTCCAAGCGGGGTCGGATACTTGCACCCGCAGGCGTACAGAAATGGCCCAGTTATTGTCGGCTTAAAATCGATATGGTCCAGCTGATATTGCGTATTCACGGCTTACAACCTCGACGGCAGTTATGAACAAGTTCAAATGTGGAAGGTTCAAATCCGTATGGTCCAAACCATAGTTACGCAACCGCATTTACACTCTTAATCGGTGGAATATATATTTTGCAATTACTGGTCAAATTTGTAGAAAAGGTTTAGAATAAGTAATATTAGCCAAATGGTGAAGAGAAATTAATAAAAAAATCTCAACCATTCTGTCCTTTTTATCTTTTAAATTCACAATGTGTGGTAATGCATTATTTTAACTGATTTTCTACTATTTTACAGCGCACACACACATTCGTCAGAGTCGATAGGTAGGCAAAAACGTTGTTGTCCATAAATCACATCCAATTTGGGATAATTTCAAATAAAAGTAGAAGCCTTATTTACTCGTATTTTCAAAATCTGCAATAACTGTATATCATTATTTCATTGACGAGAAGATCCTGGAGCTGGAAGAAGACAAGTTGCGCTGGAATATTATAGGATTGTTCGAGGTCCAAAGAGAGGAGGACGACACGGTAATCCGGCAACAGAGAGAACGGTGAGCTGAAAGTAGGGAAATTCGGAATAAGTCAACGGAACCCAAAGGGCCAGCAGCCGACTACATGGAGAAAGAGGAACTCTTTATGATAAACTATTTATTGCAAAAGCGGCCCCGCAGGAAGTGGACCTGGTCGAGACCCGACGGTTCGACAAAAAATGAGATTGACTTCATTATGACGACTAGACGCCACCTGTTCAGTGATGTTTCAGTGATCGCTAGGGTGAAAACTCGTAGCGATCACCGAATGGTTGGAGGCACACTGGAAGTAAACGTTAAGTTGGAGAGGTGTCATCAAATGAAGTCAACGCTCTGCTCCCCCTCGAGCTCTAATCCAAAGTCCCGAAACCTTTCAGCTCGAGTTACAAAACCGTTTTCAATGCCTCGAAGATTGCAATGCAGTAGACGATATGAATGACAAGCTCATGGAAACTGTCCATGCGGTCGGAGCTAAGTTTTACAAAACCCGCTGCAGAAAAACACAAAATATCTTCGATCACACTCTTAATCTCATGGCTGTTAGCTCTAGGGAAATGAAGCTGCAGTCATCAGTAGATTTGGTAGCATATAACAACTGAACAGACAGATCTCCAAATGCATGCGGAGGAACTTACGCAACTTTAATACTGCTCGTATTCAAGAAACGATCGAGCGGAACCAGAGCTTCAAAGTCTTTGCCAGAGATCTGTCTGCCAGAAAGAGCCAACTGTCAAAGCTGAAGACCGAATGAGGCAGCATCGTTTCCGAGACATCTCCCATACGGTTCGGAACACAAATGATTTTTTGAAGCAGGAAAACGTTGAGCTGTTGAGCCATCCTCCGTACAGTCCTGACCTGAGCCCAAACGATTTCTTTACGTTCCCTAGAATGAAAGATTTACTACGCGGTCAACGGTTTAAAGACCCCGAAGCAGCTGCGGAAGCGTACAAATCAGCCATTTTGTCATTACTGTTTTAATGATTGGTTTGCACGAATGGAAAAGAGCATTAAGTTGAACGGAGAATACTTCGAAAAACAATAAAATACAATTTAGCTATACCGTGCATGTGGTTTTTCTTATTCCCGATCATTTCAGTGTGCCCCTCGTATTATTGATTAACAAATACAAATAAATGGATTACTAGCGTATATTTCTTTCATGGTAAGATAAAAGTGCGAGGGAGATGGATATTATTCCATCTCGCTTCCTTATAGCCGCCAAGGCCGTCTACACTACGTCAGAAGGGGTCGTGACGGAAAAATCTTACACTTTTTCTTGCCTAGCCCTCATCCACCACATTCGTATAGTCCTATAAGGAACTTCGTTCCAAAATAATTTTCACTTTCTCACCGCCGCCGGAGACACCGCCATCCTCGCCCCAGGCGAGGATGGAATTACAGCGGAGCTTTTGAAAGCGGGTGGAAAACCGGTACTTGAAGTCCTTCAGAAGCTCTTTAATTCCCTCTTCCATGGTGGGACTAATCCGGAGGCATGGAGCAGAACTATTACTATATTTCTTTCCATAATGATTCCGAGCGATCAATGTCTCTGTACCGTTTCACACCAGTCAGTGTTTGGAAAAAACTGCAAAAGTTGTTGGCAATACAAAAGTTTTGCGTACCGCGCGGACGATGCGTACGTACAAATGTGCGAGGCCATCAGCAAAATTCGGCCCGTACGGTGCGGACAAAAATGTGCGTTCAGCTTTAGCGACGCTGCAAGTTCTCTCAGTTAAAGAACTTGCAGCGCAGCGTTGATTTGTACTCATCCGCGCCGCGCGATATTTTTCGTTACCGAAATAATTTCGGTTATGTAAAGGTTATACAAAGTTGTAACAAAACCCCTTAAAATAGCGCTACTGTTGTTTTATACCTGTTTCGTATCCGTGAATTTTAACCGCTTCCGGTTTACCAATAAACAATTGTGATATCAATATTTTGTACTGGTAGCTTAACCTCGTACATTAACCGCAATCAATCCCTGCTCTAGCCCATAGATATCTACATTTATCCTCGACTTGGATTTAAAATGCAGATGCGTTGTCACCCCTGAGAACTAAGATGGAATCCTTCATTTCGTTCGGAATCCAAAAGTGTGCTTCGTTTCCAGAGAAAAGAGTATCCGGTTCGCTAAACACGAAACACAGCAGCGTTATGCTGCTATTTCACGCTGGTGTTCTGTGAGAGTGTGGTCTAACTACGCAGGTCGAGCCGACTCATTCGTGCTACAACCATAATATAGCTGCAGCGGACCACGGACAAAATACTCGTAACATAACGTTTTACATAAATGCGTAGTATGTCCTTATTTTAGGAAATGTGTAATGCAGTTCGAGTCAACTTACCGACGCTGAGCCGTCGCTGGTCGTGGTGGTGTTGCTGGTGGTGGTGGGGGGGACGCACTTCCCGCTTAGCGGGCGCGGGGGGAGGCGACGCAGCCACGCACGCTTCCTTCGGGCTGCCGGCGCTGCTGCCATCACTGTTGACAACGGGATAGGTTCTTATTAACACAGTTAAAATAGAAAGCAAGAAAAATATATTTATTTGGCTAATTATTTGTATTTTTATGCAGACACTGGGTACGCAAGATAACAGTATATCAGCTTATAACCAAACTTAATAATACATTTACAAGCAAAAAATAAATCGTTTTAAAAATGCAGATTGGTACAACATACATACAAAAAGCGAATAATAAACTTAAAAACTTGTTTGATGCGGAATGGTTTACTTTTTTTTAAAGCATAAGGTTAACAAATGAGCACAAGTCAAGGTAAGCTGATTCATCATCGATTAAGAATCGAAATGAAGTTAAAAGTGTCTCTCGTTCTCTACACTCACCACACGACACACTGCACGAATGGGTCCGCTCGATCGGGAAAGGACCACGCTCTCACAGTATACCACCGCTAAATAACAGTTTTGTACAGCTATATTTCGCATGGTGAGTAGAGAACCGGAGACCCCTATTACTGGCAACGAGGCATGCCATCGCAGTCCTCAGGGGTGACAACGCATCTGCATTTTAATTATTTATTGAGAATAGATGTAGATGTCTATAGGCCACAGCATCCACTTACCATCAGGTGAACTGTTTGCTCGTTTGTCACCATCATTCTATAAAAATTCTCCTGTTTCTATGAGACTATCTGTGAAGTAGGTCTATGTTGTTGTTACATTATATGTTTTAATTAATTAATAACTACGCAAAAGCAGCTATGAGTAAGTGAGTATTCACTTCAATTAAAAGCCATTTACTCAAGGGACCCGCCCCGCAAACGTTAACCGGAGCACGAACCCAGCGAACTTATCTCATGCATATCTGTTATTGATAAGCGCTCGGTTAGCGACTCCGATGCTAGCATGTTTCACGCAAGATACTGCTGCAGTCACTGGCTATATTTTCAAACCTTGTAATATATAATAATATTTTTTTTTATTATATAGTATTAGTACATTTTAATGCAGGTGACTCGCAACCGTGCTTTGTGGCATTCCTTGGGGGAGGCCTATGTTCAGCAATGGACTTGTGAAGGGCTGTAATGATGATGATGATGATGCGCCACAGCATCCACTTACAATCAGGTTCACTGTGTACTCTTTTGTCACCTTATTCTAAAAAAAAAGTCCACTGTTGAACATAGGTCTCCCCATAGATTCCCTCATAAGGGGGTTATTTGCAATAGTTGCCACGCTCTGCAAGTGTATTGGAAACTGCAGTTTATTTAGGAACGAAGTTCCTTATCGCACGGTACGAATTTGTCGAATGGGGACTAGGCGAGAAAAAGTGTAAGAGTTTTCCATCACGACCCCCTTTCTATAGTGCGAACGAGATGGAATAATATCCATTTCCCTCGAACTTTTTCTGATCTTGCCATGAAAGAAATATTATTGGAACGAAGTTCCTTATCGGACGGTACGGGTTTGGCGGATGGGAGCTAGGCGACAAGAAGTGTAAGATTTTTTCGTCACTACCCCTTGTGTCAAAGTGTATTTTATTTTAAATGACGCTTCATTTTATAGACCCTAGTAATTCATTTATTTGTAATTGTTAATCAATATTCGTTTATCAATAATAAAATACTACGAAAAGAATTTCGTTCCAACCGAGGATTCCACGACACTCACTTATTATAATCGTAGGTGAACAGTTAGTGATCGTGTAACTTTTGAAAGACTTGACCCATTGAGGTCATATTCAGGTATTTGTTTTTTGGCTGATAGCTTTGGCTGATAGGATCCGATAGGTGACGGTTAGTTATGTTATTAACAACTTCTACATTAATTATGAACAGAACGGCATATATTCACTTTTACAGTTTTTTGTCAAAAAGAAAATCACAAGATTTGGACCCGATATGTATTTTATATTAACACTGTAAAAACTGCTGAGTGACGTCAGAGTGAAGCTCGTCGCGCTTCAGATCTTTGGTCTTTCGGGCCAGCTATTATTTAACACTGTATAAATAAAATGCAAGTTTCTATTTAGCTCTAGAACTTTTGTATTTATATTAAACTATAATATAATATTAAACTTACTAATCATTTATCGTAGAGTTCCTGTTCAAAATTATGTTTTGAATAGAATTTATTTTATATTTTAAATAAAAATGCACACTTCTAAAGAGAGCCTCTGCCATGTTCTTCCCAATAAATGAACCTGTTTTTTTTTTCAATAGATTTTTTTTCTATTTAGGTAGATAATTTTGTTAATTTATTTCTTATTGTATTGTTTTGATTGGATGTTATTTATACTCCAAATTAATCCAAAATTAAGTAGCACGTTATTGATATGCGTATATTGGAAAGTATAAAAATGTGTACGTTTTTGTGATAATAGCATATATTATGTTTATTGTAATGTACTTGTTAAATAAATAAACTTTAGATAATAATTATTTTCTGGAGAACCGTCTACACACTTTGAATACTAGATGCCGGAAGGGAGTTGTCAATACAAAAATTATGGAACTTAGAATGTTGCAAGTAAAACATACAAATAGTAATTAATACATACTGAAAACAGATAAATATGATTGTTTGATAATTTATAAAACAAATACTTAATAGCAAGCTTTATTAGTTACACCAATCGACAAAATGGTAACATTGTTCTTTCGTACCACTAGGCAGAGCACTTAAGCATGTGACACTATCACTTCACAAGTTGTTTACTTTCGCCACTTCAACGTCTCGACAGCTCTAGATCGTCGAAGTGAAACTGTGACGTAAAATAACATACCGAGAGGTGACATCTAGCATACGTAACATCGTCTAGGCTGTAATTTCTTAAAGAGGCAAACGCTATGGTAATTCTTTTTTTTTAGAATATGAGTGACAGCGAGTACAGTCCACCTAATATAAAATAGTTCTGTGGCCCATAGACATAGATAAATCTACATCAGACCTTTGAGGACTAAAAAGGCGTTGCTTCCAGTAAAAAGGTTATCTGGTTCTCTACAATCACAATATAAAACACTGCAGCATTAAGCTCCTATTTCACGCTGGTATTCCGTGAGAACATAGTTCTTCTCCGTTCGACCCGACCCAATCGCGCTACAATCAATATATAGCTACAGCGCGCTTCTATTACATGGTAAAAATTAGTTGCTTTGGTCTTTCGTAAGTGACTATGAAGTTCTCTAATTTACCACGTGCTCGTAAGGTAAAGGAAAACATCGTGAGGAAACCTGCATATCTGAGAAAAATATTTGGAGGACACAAACATAAAACGCAATAGGGTAACGCAGCGGACTTGAACCGTCGGACCTTTGCCCTAAAACCCACTCAGAAAGCCTTAAGTCATTGCCAAAGATTGGGACGTATATAGGCTGTAATTTTACTAATATTTTTGATGTAATGTTTGACTAGTTTGTACGGTCAGATAAAAAATATCTCCGCGCCAAGACAAAGGCTCGACGGCCATGACGTCGGCAGTTACGTCACCAACAACGCGCGTGCGACGCAACCTTCCGAAAAGGCCACACTTTCCACATTCAACGAACAAAGAGTCGAATTGGAGAAAACACCGAGTTAGGAAAGCGTTTAAAGATGAATGTAGCGAAGTGGTATTCATAAACAGGCTGGTTGCGCTAAAGTAGTGCAATTTATAATCTAAGCTAGAACAATAATGGCAAACTTATAACCTGCAGGTCAAATACTGACCTACGCAGGCTTTTTAAATGATTCACGTGTAGGTTTATCGTGTAGGCAGCTACACGTTATCTGTACAAATAAATAAGATTGAAGTGTCTGTTTGTAATTTCAAAATAACATCTTTTTACGAAATACGTATGAAAGTTTATACAGTACTTATAACAAAAAAAAATTTAAAAAATTTCGATGTTATTATTAATAGACTAGCTGTTCCCCGCAACTTCTTTCACGTGGAATTTATCAAGATTGGATTTCATGGGCTTTGATTTTTTTGCGCGGACCCAATTTTTTTTAAATTAACGTAGCCTACGTCACTCTTTATACCATCAGCTAGTAAGTCGCGGCACGTAAGTCTAGTGCTGAACAAAACGTGGAGGGGACGCGCACGAATGCGACTTTCGGGTCAATCAGCGCGTGCGAACGATACGCACGAGCCAATCAGCGTGACTTATTCGCAATAACGGTCACCGCTGGACTTTCGTGCCGCTACTTATACCCCATACCATCGCGTGGGCGTGCGTGACGTATGAGGTGACAAGGGAAATAAAAAGGGCAAGTAGCATCTTCCTAATAACAACTTAAAATAGTAAAAAAAAACTGTTGTTGCCAAGGGTTTATTCCACTTTTTCTTATCAAATATCCCACTGTTGGGACAAAGTGTACTCTTCCAAATGTGTTCGTCTACTTTTTCCATTAATAGTTTCTTGGTGCGACTAATTACTCTGTTATAATAAACCTCGACCAATTTTCCCCACTAGGGCTGGCATAAGCAAATTATCATACTTCTTGGCATGTATATCGTTGTATATTAGTCTTTTTAAGAGGTTGTATTATGAAACATGTGATAAGTAAATCTTTTATAAGCGTTATCAGTGATTTCTATAGATAACTCCAAAAAATGTTGTTCATAATATGTAAATCTATGACTTATATTGATTACAATTACAGTGGATTTCATTTATTACGACCTTGGTTGTAGCGACCATTTGAATTTGTTTTTTGATTTTAAGTTTAATTTAAAGCATATTTTAGTACAAAATTCATGTGGCTATAGCGACTTTAGATGTAACGCCGAGTTCGGGTGTAACGACTGTTTTTAATGAATAATTTGTAACAAATTCCTAGAAATCCCGTGCAGATATTGCGACCGAAGTCGGCCGCCATAAACAAAGATTTTATTTCTTTCACAAACATTTCTTATCTTTTGTTTACATTCACACACATCTATCATCTACATCTCACACATTTTTTCATTTTTCATTTTAATTTCATTTTCATTTTCATTTTTCACACATATGGTCAGCAAGTGTGGAGACCTTTACC